CATGAGCAACAAAGTCTTCACGTCGAGCAGGAGGAACACTGAGCCATTTGTGTTTGAAAGTCCCACCGGGCAGGATGGTATTTCCTATACATAGAGTAGTCAATCTAGGGTGATGATCTGACAACAAATGTTACAATAGATGATGTGCACCAGACGTGAGAGACGTTCAAACCAACACAGAGGTCTAGAATGCCTCCACAAATATGCGTGGGTTCAAGGTCACCCACAATTTGCACATCTTGGTGACTATTTAGAAGTGACAACAGTTGATTCCCATTACCGTTACTGAAGCGAGAGCCACCAATGTCCTTGTCTAGCATTGTAGTCACCAAGAATGATGGTTGGCTCTGCTTGACCAAAGGCCAAAAGATCAATATAATTTAACTTTCCTGCTGGAGCATATAGATTAAATACATTGAGGACAGAGTTGCCCACATAGATCCTCACTCCATGATATTGCTGACCGGCAGTTTGTTTTTCTGGCAGAAGTTGATGGGGTAGGGATTGTTTAATATAGAAAATGCAAGAGTTACTGGATCTGAGGCTGTAAGAAACAAATGAGGGCAATTTCGGAGATGAGGATCTTGCGGGAACTCTGCACTCCTGGAGACATTCAATATCGATGTGTTCAGTTGTTACTTTTGTGATGTAAATCTGAGAACCTTTTTATGAGGGATGCAATGTTCCAGCTAAGGATGGATAACTTAGTTATTTGTGCACTTAAAGTCAGCATTATATATTGATATTATTAGTCCACTTAATATATATTATCTATTTCACTACGATATAAGTCCAGGAACATTTCTTAGTTTATTACCAATGTCACACATTTGCCTCCAATTGTCTAGTACAATTTGTCTGTCATTTCCAGCTATAGAGTCGTTTTGGACATACTTTAGCACAACTTTAGCAGTTAACCTGTGTGGAAGGACTCCACTACACAAGATTTCAAGATCACTAGAAATTTTCCCTGATGGGCAAGCGAACACATGTTTGGAGGGTTCAGGGGTGGAAGGGATAGTTTGGCAGTCATTGCTTAAAAATCCCCTTATACACATGACCATCATCGAAATATCGCTGGTGGATTTTTTCTCATGTTGGAGTTGCTCTTGCAGCCGCTCCATCTCCTGCTGTGACTGCTGTTGGTGTTCCTGCAACCGGTCACGAAGGGCAACCACTGCTTGAATAGTGGAGCGACCCAAGGGCGAGGTGGTAGGGAGGCTGAGGTTGCGATCTGTCTCATTTTGATCCAGTTCCTTATCCCCCACTTCCAGTTGACTGTAGGGTCCAGCTGTGGATGGTGGTCTGACAGTAGGTGACATTATCCCAGAACCAGGAAGTGGCCACTCTACATCAGGGGAAGGCCCACCACTGGCAGAAGATGCAGCACCTGGTTCTTGTGGGGGAGCTGGGATGATGGCAGGAGTCTTCAGTTGGGCACCGGTCCCCTTGTGCACTTCGTAATTTAAAGGTGGTGAGTTTGGCAGCCAGCTGGAGCGAACATCACCTCCAGATGGCTCTGCACAGCGAGTGGGACTGATGGCAGCATTTGGCAACTGCTCTTCATGGTGGTGTGAAGGGTATGACGAGTGTTATGTCAACACCCCCGGGAGGCAGGTTCCTGGCACCTGATGGGCAGGCGCAGGCATAAACTGTGGCAGGAGCGGTGTTCAAGTCTGGCACCTTGACTGTGTCAAGCGACGAGCTGCTTACAGTCAGGTGCCCAGCCCCGCCCACCCGGGAGGACGGTTGCTGGGTACTGCTGCCGGCTCTAATTCCTGTGCTGAGCCACCTGGACGTAGTGTTCGTAGCAGCTGGATACCAAATACTTCATCAGCTGGATACCATCTGCCAAGCACCAAGTGCACGGGGCCAGACGACAGGTGTCTGTTCAATAGCTGATAACTAGTTCAATATTATATTTAATCAACAACAAGCTCAGTCTGAATGCTCTGTGAGAAACAAGATTCATCTTATGTTTGGCAAGGGCGACGGGAATAACGCATACCCCCGGTTTTAAGGAACCCTGTTATAAATATTATTGTAATTAAATATCCTTCTCACATGATCCAATTCTATGAATTAATGTATAGTAATTATTTAGAGCTCAGTTTGATCTCTGGTTTCCAACTAAGGAACCCTTGTTTGCTTGTTTGCTGTTGGGGAGTTCTATCCACTAGTTTGGCTTTTGGTAGCAATTTTAACCAGAATAGGGGTTTGTTTTGGAAGCTTACCTTTCTAGATGCTTGACCTGGTCGATGGCAGACATAGAATGCTTCCAACCACACGGGGGTTTCTATAGGCCATTGCTTCCCTTGCCTCTCTGAGGGGGCCAGGTTCTGGCCGTGGGCCCCGGTAGGCCCTAAGAACTCCATACACATGACTGTGCCAAAGTCTGACATTAGCATATCAGCCTGGTAAAGCTCCGGGGAGCCGACGGGGCTTCCCCCCAAAAAAATCCATATTTCAGAGTAAACATCAATATTTCCTTCATTGAATTATACCTCATACAAAAATATATGTATTATTCATCTCTGTTCTGTTAAAATGGGAATTTTATATAGAAAAAATTGCATACATACAGATTTTTATGCAATATTAAGTTTTCCTGTTACATACAGTAATCTAAGTTCTTATCTCAATGTAAAACATTGAGCTTCATATTAAGGTACTCAAAACAAAACACTGAATTATATATGAAAGACAAATCTTCCAAAAATCACATTGATTGGACGTGTCATTTTAGCTCATACAGTACTGTATATACATTAATTTGCAACATTAGGATACATTAGGATATATACAGTATATTTGGTAATACCTAAGCCATGTTGTGAGAGGTTTTAATGTGGATAACCTTGGCTATATAACCAGTATGGTTATGTAGTACAGCATTAATTAATTCGGAGAGAAATGAAAAGTTTCTAGATATTAGTCAAAACTATTTACAGTATAGACATAGTTTACCTATGTTGTTGACCAGTTTCACCGAGAATTTTATTGAGAAAAAATTTCTTTAAAGAGCTACCGTAGTTGGGAATCAAAGTTCCAATAGACAACTAAGTGGAACAATGCAATATGAACAGTAAAGGTGAGGCCTTTCTTGCCACTAACTGCTCAGGAGTTAACTGTGTGGTGCCAAAAAAACAGTAGCCAAGCCGAGGGGCAAGAATCCACTCTATCAAACATCTAAATTATTGGGACTGATTAAAAGTTCTAAATCTGTATTCTCTAGAGCGCAGGTGAGGGAGAAACATAATAATTTACATGTAGAAAACATTAGACGTTTATAATTTTCACACAGAAATAACATCATGTGAAACTAGTAAGGATGGCAGGATGTGGAAAACAGCCTCATTGAAATGCAGAGGTGCAGTAGGTATGCTGATGAGAGCTCCATCAACATCAAAGGCCCAAGACACTTCAACTTTCATTTTTCAAGGCCCAAGATATTTCATTTTCTCCCACTATACATAAGGGGCATAACTGGCCAGCCTCTTACGGTGATCAAGAGAGAGCTCAATAAACCACTCCAAAGGATACCTGATCAATCAGGCTGTGATCAGCCACTTCCAGCACCTTGGTTGACCAAATGACCAACCATTAGTCCTGGACAGGACCGGGTAGTGGGAATGTTCATTCCTGAAAGCACCACTGGGTAGGTATGGTACGAAAATATGAACTTCAACAAAAAAATAATTATCTGTCTGAAGCATACATTTCCAGTATAATTGTCTAAAAAAAATATTTTCTTATATCATAAAAGTTTAAGTTAAAAATAAAATCTGTCAAATTAGAAATATAAAAAACTGAGCCCCCCATTTATCTAGGCAAGAGGTTAATTCATACCAGCACAAGTAACCTAACTCCTGTAAATAATGACTAATTCTAACTCCACAAGCACATCTGTGAAACACTAGAGACTGGTTGGATGGAGAAGTTGCAACACACAGTATAACTCCCTTTCACCAACACAAATATTGCAAGTGACAAAAATATATAAATTGCCAAGATGGAGGGTATTCAGGAGCAAACTTTCTATTAAAATTACCAATCCAAATTCTCTCAAGTGTGTAATATTTTTCCAACACAATGGTATAAATTTTTTTTATATCTTGCTCTTTTTTTACCACAATTTCTCATTCCCATCATTAATTTCACTATAATGAATTTATATACTGTACTGTATTCATAGTCTTTTAATCTTCTGTCTCCGCATACCTGAACCATTTCACTACTCCATCTTCCATTTTGTTACCACGCCTCTACTATTACCTTACACCTTTCTTTCATACTCTGTCCAAACTTCTCCTTATATAACTAACCTTCACAAACTGTTGGTAATTCTTGCTATCCAATTAGAATTCTAGACCAACTTACCAGTTCAAGACATTTGCTTAATATCCATCATGGTATTAAAGAGAGACTCCAACCATAATAATAGGCCAAGACCCCACAACAGTCTTCACAAGCTCACCTCCACTGTTAGGAAAGTTAGCTAAAGAGGCGATGAATCACAATAACGTGGCTAAAGTATGTTGACCAGACCACACACTGGAATGTGAAGGAACGACGATGTTTCGGTCCGATCTGGACCATTCTCATCGACTTGAGAATGGTCCAGGACGGACCGAAACGTCGTCGTCCCTTCACATTCTAGTGTGTGGTCTGGTCAACTTTGCTAAAGAGGTATAGTTTGAATGTGACATTCGTGTGTGTGTCTTGCAACTTGTTCTTCCATCCAGCCCCGAGTGTTTCACACACGGTGTATGGAGGTGTGGAGTTAGAATATTGTATTGCACGTTTAAACTTGTTCAAGCATATACTCTTTTATTTATTTATTTATTTATGCATATACAAGAAGGTACATTGGGATTGTGAGGATACATAATATGGTAATTACAATCTTGTAAAGCCACTAGTACGCGCAGCGTTTCGGGCAGACCCAGATCTTTTCTAGGTACAGTACAGTATCTGTATAGGAGAAATGACAAGGGAAATTTTGAACAGGTTATATTGGTTAATTCCATATTATAAAGAAATGTATATTGCACAATGTAAAATTTAAATTACAAAATATAAACTATACACAATTAAGTAGTTATCTGGCCAGGAACACACACAAACATACAATACTCTTAATTAAGTTCCTCCTTACTTTATTTTTTTTTAATAAAATATTTAACAAAGTATTATCCTTGAATACTACTTCACGCACTTAAGATACCATCTTGGCCCCCTGGTCTCACCTCACATGAAACTTAACAAAGTTTCTGCTAGGAAAAAGTTACTTTTTTTTTGTAATTTAATCAAATTGTAAAAATAAATATATAAATGCCTATATTATATTATATATATAATAAAATGTATTGAATGTGCAAGATGAATAAATTTACGGAATGTCAACCATTTTGATGAGTATAAATCATTCTACAGACTGGAATGTGCTGTATGAGTCTGATGTTCCTCCTTCTTGATCCAAGATGCTGGACAAAGCCACATCACGCTTGTTTTTTACAACTTTCCATGAGCGCTGCGTGTAAGTGAAATATGCCTCAATTTCCCCAAGGGTGCGGCCCTTGGTCTCCGGAACAAGTAAATACACGAGTATCAGTCCAATAACACACACACTGCTGTAGACTGTGCAGGTACCAGCAATACCAGTCAAGGATTCCAATCTAATTAGAAATAGAAATAATGAAGATTGTAGTACACTACTGTAATCCTAAATATACTGTATAGCAAGTAAGTAATCATGAAAAGAAAAGTCAAAGCCCAGAAAGCTATATAGATAATGTACAGCAAAATATGCATGTTACTTTTAACAGTAGCAAGAGCTGGTATTATTTACCGTCCTAAATAATTTGGCTTTCTAGGTCACCACTTTGGACAAATTAGGTTAGTCAGTTTTGGAAATTTTAGATCTTGGTTTAGGTTACAAGTGGCCCTTATATAAGACCGCTGTTTGTCAGAATTTGAGCAGTAGGCAAGAAAACCAGCTTGTAATAATGAAATACCTCTTACTGGTTGGGCTTCAGTGACTCCCTTGTCTTTTCCCCCCTCTACCAGGTGAGTTGAATTGTTGTCATAGGCTTTGGCCTGATGAATGTTGACAAGGGGAGCCAGCAACTCCCAGTAATGCTGCCATCTGTCAATGGTCAGCTGTAACTAGAGGGTTTTGAACCAACAACTGGATTTGCAGATTTCTTTGCTGCTTGAATTTTTCTCCGTGAACCTTTAAGTTGCCCATTTTGCTTCGCTTACACATTGTATGTTTCCTTGGTAAGGATAATTGTAACACTTCCCTGCTTTTGTGAGTAGGGAGAAGCTTGGGAATCTGGTCTCCAGTAGCTGGTGTAAAGGACTTCTAGTGCAAATGACTCAATATGTGCGGAGCTATCTCAGTGTGGCTAGGCTACAGGGTTGTTCATTATAGTCACCAACAATGACCAAAAATTATTCCATTATTTCCGTCTAAGAGAAAAAGTTTCTATTACAATGCTGCTAAAAATCATTATTAAGCAAGTTAAATTAAGTAACAATTTTCAATATTATGGGATAAAATTTGAGAAATTTGTACTCCAGAAAAAATACAGTAACATATGTAAACACTAAGGCTTGTAAAGTATATTTAAAGAGTAAGCATGACAAGATAAAAAAAAAGGTGCTCCTATAAAATAAAAATGATATAGCCTGCTTTGCTTAATATAAAAAATAAACTTGTCCTTTTATAAATGTATTTCACGAAAAACCAGACTACGAATTCAAATAGATATTTTAGCAGCTTAAGGTCAACTCACACCTTGGATCAAATTGCACATCTCCTTTGGAATGCATAGGTTAAATACATTAGTTTTAGTTGTTACAGAGATTTTGCTCATTGTTCTTAATCATAACTTTATGGGATGAGATTTAATATATATAGTTAATATATATTGCTCATGATCGCTGCAAAACTAACGCTCAATACACATTACAGCATATTCAGCTATTTACAAATAGGACTAAGCAAAAATCATAAACTACTTACCTGAAGTAAGTCTTGGTAATTATGAAAGCTAGAAACCAGTTTAGTACAGAGATGACAGCAGCGGCCTTTTCCCTCGCTGCTTGTGGGAACATTTCCCCCACCAGCACCCACGTGATCGGCCCCACGCCGAACGAATAAGCGCTGACATAGACGATCGCAGCAAGTATTGCAACCCAACTTCCTCCTGCATTATGACAGAAAATATATATACAGTACATACATATATTTAATCATGTTGCTGATGGATACCATTACTTAGTATTTCTGAATTCTGTACTCCTTCCCGGCTTGGTGCCTTCTTTTGAAATTCACTTACTTAACCACTGTGTTGCGCCGAGTTTATTGTGAAATTCCCCATGCGCATGAAATCAAGTGTTCCCAAAAATGATTTTTTCTTATTAAAATGATGAATTCCCTTCCCTAAATATGTCTATGTAAAAATAAATGTCTAATTCCACTTACTTTGGGTGTGGGGACGTGGACACAATGTGTGCCGTGACGTCATCAGGGGCTGGTCGCCCGTGCATGAAGCTCCCAGACAAGGTCGCCCGGGCCATTCAAGCACCGCGTGTTGCCACAAATATATTTTCAATTATTTGTTCTATGTATTTCCAATGCAGTTTTATTTTTTTTATCATCTATGATGCATATTTGTGTCCTTTAGAATATGTATATGGTAGAATGTTCATAATGTTCCATGGCACTGTGATACATGTGTCAGTAATGTGTCCACAATAAATGTTTATTGTCGCAATATTACTTGTTAAAAATTCACTAAAATTACAATATGTACAGTTTCACACACTATTTACACAGTAACACACTGTATTACACACTCAGTACTTCGGAAGTGAGTAATAATCAACGAAGTAGTCCATGGTACACAGCGCGACTTCACTCTCGTTGCACCAGGTACAGATAGATTTTTGCTTAGTGTTTCTTCGTTCTGTGTGCTTACAAATAACGCACTCACGTACACCCTTGGCTTTAGTACTTGTAGGTGGTATGTAGCCAAGCTTGTAAAGCATAAAGTAGCATTGAAAAGATTATAGGAAAAGATCATTTTGTAAGGTAGTCTTGAAAAGATCGCTTTGTAAGCTGAATCTAAGTGGGTGGCTGAATCTAATCCTGTGGCTTAGATTCAGCCACCCTCGAAGAGTTTCCGTCAATCTAAAAGTGATTCAGGCATTCTCGAAGAGATTCAGGCATGCTGGAAGAGATTCAGCTATTCTTGAAAATATCTATGGAAAACACCACCATGGAAGCTGGTAACACTGTTCATCTATGCTAATTGTATCAGATGCATCGTCACTGAACACAGAAAACGATTCATCTATTTATCATCTACAGTGGTACCTCGGAATACGAGTGTCCCTGAATACTAGCAGGATTTGCTCGGAAAATGTGCTCGGTAGGCGAGGGTTACCTCAGAACACGAGTTTGCTGATACGTGTACAGGCCGAACTAGCGCATGGTGGTACGGCGATCATCGCCCCTCACCCCTCAGTTTACCAGTTTAAATATTTCAACTAGTTGAAATTATGGAAGCTTAAAACAAGAATATACTTATGGTACCTTAAAACCCAGCATTGAATGTAATGAAATGCCTCTTTCTGGAGGATCCTTGGTGGCTCCCTGAACCTATCTTCCTGAGATTGTTTTTCATATTAAACTTGTTTTACTGTGTACTGATTGTTGCAGTATTTTTGCCTGATGTATTTGTAACTCCACCGAGCTCTTTTGAGTAAATCTCTTGTTCCGTGTGACTCATTTGCTTTAGTCATTTGGCAGTTTTCGAGGTTTCATTCTCTGTGAACTCTCCAGTTCCCGTAAAGCTGTGCTTTCTGGAGGCTATTCTCTGCACCTCTGTGAGGGGGCCACAGTCTGGCACTGGTCCCAGTTGGCTAAAGAGAACTGTACAGATATGCGGCTAATGTGACCGTGTAATGTGTAGAGATACACGGCTAATGTGACCTTTCAGTATGAAGCAATCTAAGGAAGATTGATTTTAGGCAAAGCCTAAAATTACCCGTGAATGAGCACCAATTTGCACACCACAACCTAATATGTATACTCATTCAGTTTGGTAACATCAATTTTCATGTTACCTCGCTCGTTTTGGTATCAAATTGTTCACAATATAAAGATGCGTATTTTAAAACTAGTCCCATAATAATAGCACAAATAGAATTTTAACAAATATTTTAAAATTTAAAATTTAGACCCAAAAAGTATTTATAATCTTTCAAGTGTTCTGACATTAAATTTCGCGTTACATCTTTCATTTTGGTATCAAATTGTGCGCATTCTAAAGGCACTTATTTTGAAACTATCCCGAGGTCGATCGGATAAAAAATGGATTTTATACAAATATTTTTGTAGTGGATGCAAGTCCTGTCCACGGCTAGGAATCAAGAGAACAAAAAAATGGACGTGATCGGTGTCCAAACCGAGCGATACTGTTAATTACTGCATATGAGAAACATTACAGCAAATGGATCTTGCTGATACAGCATTATAAAAAATTATTTGGTAAACTCAATATGGTTTCAAAATTATTACAAAATTTTAATTGAATAATTAAAGCTTGGTCACAAACCTGCTCCATATTTAGTTGCAACTTCACAGATTGCAATGGTAGCCAGTGCAATAGCCATGGCAGCAATAGATGTCATGAGCAATTTTCGACGCCCTAACTTGTCCACAAAAACAGCAGCCCCAACAGTTGAAAATACCTGTAACATTAAAACACATAAAAACAGCAGTGACATCAAAGCTGCACAACGACTAGGAGCAAAAGTGAAACAGTTTGAAAGGCGTTATGAAAGGCGTTATGAAAGGCATTATGAAAGGCGTTATGAAAGGCATTATGAAAGGCGTTATGAAAGGCGTTATGAAAGGCATTCATAACGCTCCAATTCCGATCAAATTCAATGATCCAACAATAAAATCAAAATGGCTACAATCAGTGGGGCCATCAAACCCTTTCCAGGTATTTCACTAAAAAAACTTACTGCAAAGTATTCATTTATACATGAGTATATGGATCTCTGCCATGACACATCTTAAGTATTTGAAACTATTCTGCGGTACTGTATTGTACTTGCAAAGCCACCCCATTATTATAGTGTATGATAAGATCATCTGTGGAGGAGGCCATCATCAGGTATCAGTACAGTATATGGTCAAACCGATACTACTCCTCACAGAGTTTCCTAACTAATATATCACTCTGTGTATCATAAAAACTGACTTAATTATAAACTAATACCGGCTTGCACTTTCCAAAAATCACATCACTACAGTTGTCAATGAATACTGATCATTTAGAAGTCATTATAAGAGCAAAGAGGCAATAAAAATTCCACTCAAATAATGCCTTTCATATAGAGTTGCTTTAAGGCAGGAAAATAATGGAAAGAATCCAGCATTCTTCAGAGGTGTTGCTAGTGCAGGCACTATCCACGTATATTTTATATTCTTGTATATAAGATGTTACAACGTACTAAACATATCAAACCTTAATTATGTAAACAAAAATAGCATAAGTACGTACGAGTGTAAGCGTTTGAAACGAGGCAGGATATACTAAGTCCAAGTGTTTGTTTACAATGTAAAAAAACCCTGGGCAAAAATTATATGATTTGGAAATATTTTTCTAGACGCAGTTACAAAAGTTGAATATCATAACACTGATCGAATTTACCTGATTTAAGCATTACCACGCAATGCAGCATAAGGTACAGAAACACCAAGATAGAAAATGCCATTTAATGTATACAAATGGGCTGAATAAAATTTTGTGAAATACACAATACTGTACATTAGAAAAGTGGTAGTGTAGTACTGTACCTGCATGAGTGTGACCACAGTAGCTGCCCAATATTCACTGACAGCTGGCACAGCTTGATGAAGGAAGGTGGCACAGAATGTTATGATAGCATTGTAGCCAGAGCACCGATTGACCACAGTTACCAAAGCCACAACTCCAAGAGGGAACACACATGATCTATGAGTTATGATGTCAAGCCATGAAAAAGCATTATATCTGAAAAAATGGTGAATATGAATAAGATTATAGTATCACATTCCTTATAATATACATACATAATAAAATGTTTGTATTTTTATGGTAAAAACCAGCATTAAATGTAATGAAACTCATCATTCTGGTAGATCCCCGGTAGCTCCCTGAACCTATCTCACCAAGATGGCTTTCCACTATTGGGTCACATCAGTCACAGAAGTCCTGATTGACCTACTAAGAACCAGAGCCAGAACCTTGCCCCACCTCACAGAGGAACAAAGAGCAGGGGATTGTTACAGACAACTGCAAGATTCACAAAGTAAAATCACTGAACCAGCCAAATGACTCCACAAACGATTCATGCAGGTAAAACTCGCACCCCCTCTCATACCAAGAACTGCAATGAAAGATGCAAGTGGATTCCAATAACTAAGCCACCTGTAAACCATAGAAATGTTAACATTTGTGTCATGAATTCCAGATGCATGAAGGGGCAGAGAACATCGAATCTGCAAGGTACATCACCAGGCCGATCTGTTGGAAGAAGCAGAGCTGCAGAAAAAGCCCAGATGCCACACTGGGCCAGAGGAGCCATAAACAAAGGCTGAGCTAGACAATAAAGAGCCAAATGGGAAAGGCTTCCACTGCAAGAGCCTTGTTTTCAGGAAATGGAGCCATGTAAGTGGGAAGCTGCAGGTTCTACACTGACGTGAGAAGGTCCACCGCAGGGTGACCAAACATCTCACCGAGTCAACAGGACGTGGTGCCATTGATGGTTCAATTTATAAAAACAGAACAGAAATGAGATAAAACCATCCATGAGAACACTGAACACACCCTGCACATGAACTACGCAGAGAGTCAGAAGCTGAGCTACTCGTCCAGTTCCAAAAGAGAAAAAACCAAAGTGATCCCCTGCTGTTCAATGAATTACCGAGGAGCAGTCGGAATGGAACCAGGAAGACAAATCTTCCGAAGGTCCTGCCACACTGTTGCAGACTTGTGCAGCGTGCTGTGTGCCCATTGCTCAAGGCCTGAGCAATGACTCGTGGAGGCTTGATGAGCACTGGTCACAAAAGCCCCATCCAGAACCTAGGTGTCTGTGAACACACTGAGTGACAGGGAAGGATGGCACTATGGAACTAAACCCCCAAAAGCCCAAAGAAGCAGCAGGTGATACAAAGTCAAATAAGGACAAACAGGGGCGGAACCAGATGGTCCCGGCAATAGTTAAATGGGCAGAACCAGAGGAACCAGTACAATGCCCCAAAACAAAGTGTACCAAGGAAGAATACCATGCAGGCAAAGTTCAGGCTCCTGCACAAGTGCTTGACCAACAACCTTTGGCTTCCTTTCCCCTTCAAAACATTGTGATTATGCTTATAGCCTGGCAAGATGCCGAGCTGGTTTTGGCATCCAGCCAGTCTGCGTGTTTGCAAGTTGATGTCCTGGTCATTTCTGTCTCGTCAGGTTTCGGTTTCTGGTGAATTGATGAAGATCCCATTTGGTTTCACTGTGGGTTTGAACCTAGTTGAGCCTAGTCTGGATTTTTTCAAATGGCTTCCCTTTTCCTTCTACCTGCATGCCTGCTATGCTTGACACTTGTCTCAGACTGGAAGCAAACAACATCTGGGTCATTTGTTGGCTTCCAGTTTGCCAGTTTCCTCTTTCGTTTTTGGGGCAAAAAGCCACTCTCTCCCTCTGCACTCCCCCTCTTCCTAGATTCTTTGGCATCTAAAGGAAGACACCACTAAATCTATACTAACAGAACCAACACTTTTAGGATGGTAATCATGTCTTGTAATGCAGGAGTAAACTAAAGGATAGAAATGGCATAATAGGCCAACACAGCCTGGTTATGACTGAGAAAGTTGACCTTGCCATGCTAATGTAAAGCACACAAATACACACTGCACCCCAAGCCAGAGAATGCTGCACCCTACTTGAGTAAAGACAGGACATTCAAGGAAAAGAACCCAACTCAACCCGGGCAAGGACCACCACAAGTGAAGAGAGCTTATAAGGAAGTGAACCCCAAATACCCCAAGGAAAGAGTACCCTGAAATGCATGGACATTATTAGGGAGCACAAAGGGAAGAAAACCGTGTGCACATGCAGCTCCAAGCACTAAAGTCCAGGCTCACACTACATTGAATAGTGTAAAGAAAAGCCAACAAAGTTAAGAAAACCATCACTTAGCTGAAGCAGGAGACCAGAGACCAAGTGGAGAAAGGCGACCCGATACACACACACTACACACATCAGCATAGAACCGAGGACTGTGTCACTGGCTGACTGCACGCTACCTCTCCCCTGACTGTCCAAAAATGCCTGGGAGGTTAGGTAAATGAGTTGGTGCTTCTTTTGAAACTTTTCATTAATTTGTTGACATTGTTTTAGAGGTCTTCTGGTGTTCATGAGACTACGTTCTCTTCTTTAGTCATCTGTGGTTTGTTTTATCTCGCTGACTTTCTGGATGCCTTCCCCAGAGGTGGCATAAAAAAAAAAGATAAATGCCACTTCTCCCTGTGCCTCTCCAACGGTAGCCAGGTTCTGGCTCTTGCTCCCCGGTAGGCCAGATAGAACTCCACGGCTGATGTGATCCAGTAGTTGATACACTATCAGTGATAGTAGCTTCAGGGAGCCACAAGAGCCCCCCCCCCCCCGAAAAACCTAAATTATGTGTCTAGATATGGGGGCTGACAGGTGTATCAAGATGATCAATAATACTGTCGTTACTGTTTTAACAGAAGCAGTCATTACTGCAAAGCATGCAGCATTTTGGGTGAGAAATTAAACCTAACAAAGTAATTGAGATATGAAAAACATGCCATGATTTATAACTTACAAGGTGAACAGTAAATCTTGAATGATATAACAATTAGCAATATTATTTATCATTAAACCAAAATTACAATAATGTCATAGTTAAATCAAACCTATTCATTGTTTATTATGGAGAAAAATAATTTTGAACGATATCAAATACATACTGGCTTGCTTTAGAGGATATAATTTGCTGCAAATCGTATTCCACACAATAATGATGTCCACGTAGCCTCGTGAGGGTCTTCCTTGCATCATCCTCTCGGCCGCATGCTACTAGCCACACAGGTGAATTAGGAATGAAGAGAGTAGCCACAAAGTACACCACAACAGTAAAGGCTCCAAATATGGCTAAGCCTCGCCATTCCATAAATGTCCCTGAAATTCAAAATGTTATTTTTTTTCTGCACCATAAAGCAGGCTTGAGCTATACAACTTTATTTTTTATTTTTTTGTAGTAGTTACATATATATATATATATATATATATATATAGCAGCTGTTGTTTCACCTTGTAAAATAAAGACATAATGTGATGGTGGACGAGTCGAAACATTTAGTATTGGTTTAAGTGCAGACAATAGAGAGATAAGAAAAGAGAACAGACTGTACAGGTGTTCATGGTTATTTAGTCAGGTAAGCTCTGAAAATTGTTTGAAAATAAAATATGACATTTATTATGTATCAAATGTATTATCTAGCAGGTGTTTACAACAATAATAAAAGTGAAAAAAAAAAGGTGGCACAAAAAATCAGTGAGAAACTAAAGAATTAAGAATGGGAATTTATAAGAAACAGAAAGACATTGTGAAAGCTAAGAAAATATGGTAGAATAAGTAACTACTGTACATACCTGTAGTTACTAGGTTCAATGCAAGCCATTTCTGGCCCTAAATCTGGAAATATTTCAAATCATTTCATTATAATTGTCTATATAAAGTCATAAGAATTACCAGTCTTAGAGTAAAAGACACAACTGGTGGAGAGAGTTGTTCAAGTATGGTCGGGTGTTTCTTAATAAACACTACAGTTACTGTACATAGGATACACACAATATCTTACTGTAGAAAACCCAAAGACTAAAATATTACCAAGGAGAGCTATAGTAAAGATGCCCATGTTGACTCCCAGCTGTACCACACAACTCAGAGCACCACGCATAGATGAGTGAGCAATTTCACTAATGTAAACTGGTGCTGCTGATGTTACAATTCCTAAAGACACTCCAGTCAGAAACCTGAGACAAGCAAAAATAAATTACAGTTATCATTTGAATAAATAAATAAATCAGTTAACAAAAGTTAAAGAGAATACCAGATAATGTGAACAAGTCCTTTCCATGATAAATGCAGTCAGTGCACAGCTGCAGAGAAATCACTGTTGCTTTAACTGTTCCTGTTATCATCTCCACAATTTTTAGCAACTATTAATAAAACTCAAAATAATTAATTTACACACACCTGCCACCATACATCATATACACATCAGATGCAGCACTAATCATTATCCAACCAATCAAGCGTGGGAGAGCTGAGGCCAAAACAGCACGTCTCCTGCCCAAACTGATCACCCATGATGATACGAGAGCCCCAATACAAGCACCAAGTAGGAGCAGCGAGCCCAGCCACGATGCTTCCTGTGGATAAAGGCTAAAGTTACTACATGCCCAAAAGATGTTTTATTTGTAGATTTACAGTACTGCAACATCAAGCATAAGTCTTAATTATATGAAATTTTGTAATTGTTAATTTAGGCATGTATTAAATTACTGGCTAATTAGTGATTATACTTAACCTAGGACTTTTCCCACTATGATAAACATATTCCAAACAATATATATTCTTTGCCTACCTCTTCAGTAAGGAAGAGATCTGTAGATAACTCTAGCTCTGTTTCGCCTCTCAATAGAACAGATAAATCATCATTTGAGTTGTTTGAATTCAAAAGGTAGCTGTTGTTATGAGTAACTGGTCCAGCATTGGAACTGAAATTGGAGCCGAGTGTGGTGCTGATGGTACTGACGTCTGACATTAAGGTGACGTCAGTTTGATTGTCGTAAGTATCTTCTTGGAGGAGGGTGGGTATGGCTGGGGAAGTGTATCCTTCTAGTACACCTCCGGAGAGAGTACTTAGTCCCATAACACATGCTGCTATTATCTGAAACAATTTCAGATATGTAAACATCATCCAAGAATGTAAAAGCAGATGCTCTTCTCAGCTAAATTAATAGTGTCACATATAGTACAGTATAACAATTTATAAACATTAAGGTTGATAACACACTTTATATATTTACACTTAATTTTTGGGGGAAGGGGGGGGGGTATAGTATTATAACTTCTAAACACATATACTAAGCAACTATCATATGCAATATAAAACACATTAACAAACCTCAAACTTGCGAGTCACTGACTCTGCTCCTCCAACAGGATAAACACCAGGATAAAGTTCATCAATGTGTACTGCTCTCTCTGGGACAACCACCACCACCTCCCCTTCATCCACACTATGCTCCTCTCTCATCATAATGCCTTATTACTACAACAAAGCTGGAGACAAGTTAAAGCTGTGCTCAGTACCATGCTCAGTCACCTCAGCTCATGGTATATGACAACTTCCAAAACTCAATGAATATTCATTTCAGCACCAAAAACTTCTAAAGTTCATTGAACTTCACTCAATATTTGTCAAAATAATCCTGCAATTACAATAGTATTATATGTAGTAATACATGACAAAAAATTCACTTCAGCAAACCATAAAGTACATTTCCAAACAAGCATTATATTAGTCCATTATCACATCAGGCAGTAATGTTTTCTCTGGGGTACTCTCTCTCCTACGTTTTGCCTGAATACCACTAAGACCTGGTTGTGGTTCAGTGCTTGTTTGTCTCACTACAAATTTGTCAAGAGACATTTGTTTTTCCCCTTCGTTTTAACATTTGTCTGTAATGATGCATCAGTGTCATTGAATAGGTTAAGGCAATGACCTACTGCAGCTTGATTTGGGTGAGTCGTTTCAGCAAAGGTTTGCAATTCTTCCTATGCTGCACACATTTTCTAAATTGTTGAGGAAGAGACATTCTGTACTCTTGTTTCTGCTCTATGGTCATCCTTACATGGGTTTTCATATGTTGAGCCTTATCACTGACTTTCCTGGGACTCTTAGTGTGATATATAATAATTACTTTAATGTTCAAAATGCAAAAAATCACCACAAAAGAGGAATTTCTTATAGGCGCGATCGTCACTAAGCGGGCAGCTGTAGTAAACTGAGGCATGTCGGCCAAGTGACCAGGAACCATGTGCTCGGTCGACCCGAACGTGTACCAACAAATATCGGAAGTCGACGACACCATCGGATGTCGAGTCGCATTTTTCTATGAAATTTACATTGTAACTCGAAATTATCGTAAGTAGGGGCAATTGTATGTCGAGGTGCCACTGTACGTAATATGTTGAGCTATGAATAGGCTTACTGCCTTGTAATTACCCAAGATATTTTGAGTACATACTGTAATGCTAATTCCTTCACATTAGAAATAAAGATGGCATAATTACAGCACATTATCAGGTGTTTCTTAAAGATTGGTGTATAACAGCACCAAAAGACAATGAAATACAATAATGAATGAATGTAAGACAACACACAATTGCCATTCAGCCTACATATATTTTTCTTTTTAAATGAGCCTCATAATCACTCATTACATCCTGTAAAATGTTATGTAGATAACACTTAACATCATGGAGATAGGATACCTCAACTTATATATGTAACATGTTTGAAGAGAACATTTTGAGTGTAAAGCTTCATAAAGGTTTATCTAAACACAATATATAATCACTTTCATTAAGTTAATTGTTAACATGTTATATATTTTGGTGTTTAAAGTATTGAAATTTTGTTACCTTGCCAGAAGTGAATTTCTCAAATAGTATACAGGTACTGTACAAGAAAGAATTGGATGACTGACAATTGCAGATTAAACCACATTGAGGATAAAAATACAAAATACATTCATCACAAATTTTCAAAATCTCAAAAAGCTAAGAATTTAAATATTTACAAAAATTATAGAAGCTATATATATATAATTAATGAATGTCTTAACACTGTAAATATTACTAATTTTAATGAGAACTATCAAAGTATACATAATTTGTATACAATAATTATCATGCATTTATGATTAAAATGTGTATTCATGTGCAAATATATTACAAACCCTTCACCTACACTAAGTACTGTGGATTTGTTAACTACAGGCACTTGGGATGATGTACTACTTGGCTGGTCAGCAGAGTCTGTTATAGCCAAAAGGTTCGGGAATTGATTCCCACATCAGGACAGACATTTGAGCAACATCATCTTTCACCTGATATCTCTGTTCACTTAGTAGTTAATAGGTACCTGGGAGTTAGGCAACTGCTGTGGGTTCCATTGTTAGGAAAGTCAGGAATTGGCCAAGGGTGACAATGATATGACAATGAGGCTTACTGTTCCCAGATGAAGGAAATCCATGACTGCAATATTGTATAATAACTAACTGCAATATTGTATAATAACTATGGTACAAGACAACCAGTGTTATGGGCTGATCATGGAACTACATGATGCAGCATTCTGATGCAATGGCAAGGATTCAGGCATCTTTAAACAGGGAAGAATTTGGAAAACACTGAAAATGCATTGCAGGTACTATAATTATAAGTCTAAACACCTAACCTATGATACTTGTTATGTTTTATTTTTTATTTTATTTATTTTATTTATATATATACAAGAAGATACATTGGGTTTGTGAGAATACATTGGATAGTACAGTATTTACACTTTTGTAAAGCCACTAGTACGCGCAGCGTTTCGGGCAGGTCCTTAATCTAACAGATAATTTTAAGTAGGTAAATTCTAGCAGAATTGATAAATGATAATGATACATTGCAAGAGAAAAATGAGATGAGAGATCTTAGTAAGTATATTAAAGCACATTGTTATATTAAAGCTCTGATTGATTACATTGTATATATAAAGTACATTGTACAATGTAATTATGAAGGTAAAGCACTAGGCCAATATTTCTATATAGCAGATAGAGTACATTTGAAAAAAGCCAATACTGCCTATAAGGCCACGTTAATCTCGGCCTTCATTGAGTACATAATGACCAGATTCCATATTTTCCTCTCGAGTGTTGCTCCTCAACAGTTGGTTCATAATAATAAAATGTCTTGTAACAAAAGGTCCGATTTAAGATCCGATCTGATAGAAGACAATGTTCACAAGAGCCGTCCAGCAGCACACTGGAGTCACGGGTGGTTCAAGTACGTTTATTGAGACAATAAAGTAGATCTCAAAGGGGTAGAGCAGTTTAGGCTATTTCCACCCACCCCACGGGTGGTGTCACCAGGGAACAGCAGTCATGGAGCGTCCTGCACCAGTACTAGTCCCGTCATGTGACCACTACTCTTGAGGCACCGTGTGTGACCTTACATCGCGTGACTGACACGACTGTTGTTACCCCGGCGACCACCCTATTGTTTACCTCGCCGCCCTTGTCCGCACCCTCCAGCTGGCCCTGGCTTCCACCTGTCATCCGCACCCTCCAGCTGGCCCTGGCTTCCACCTGTCATCCGCACCCTCCAGCTGGCCCTGGCTTCCACCTGTCATCCGCACCCTCCAGCTGGCCCTGGCTTCCACCTATCATCCGCTCCCTCCAGCTGGCCCTGGCTTCCACACCTCACCACCTGTCGTCCGCTCCCTCCAGCTGGCCCTGGCTTCCACACCTCACCACCTGTTATCCGCTCCCTCCAGCTGGCCCTGTCTTCCACACCTCACCACCTGTCGTCCGCTCCCTCCAGCTGGCCCTGGCTTCCACACCTCACCACCTGTTATCCGCTCCCTCCAGCTGGCCCTGTCTTCCACACCTCACCACCTGTCGTCCGCTCCCTCCAGCTGGCCCTGGCTTCCACACCTCACCACCTGTTATCCGCTCCCTCCAGCTGGCCCTGTCTTCCACACCTCACCACCTGTCGTCCGCTCCCTCCAGCTGGCCCTGGCTTCCACACCTCACCACCTGTCGTCCGCTCCCTCCAGCTGGCCCTGGCTTCCACACCTCACCACCTGTCGTCCGCTCCCTCCAGCTGGCCCTGGCTTCCACACCTCACCACCTGTCGTCCGCTCCCTCCAGCTGGCCCTGGCTTCCACACTCACCACCTGTCGTCCGCTCCCTCCAGCTGGCCCTGGCTTCCACACCTCACCACCTGTCGTCCGCTCCCTCCAGACACCTCACCACCTGTCGTCCGCTCCCTCCAGCTGGCCCTGGCTTCCACACCTCACCACCTGTCGTCCGCTCCCTCCAGCTGGCCCTGGCTTCCACACCTCACCACCTGTCGTCCGCTCCCTCCAGCTGGCCCTGGCTTCCACACCTCACCACCTGTCGTCCGCTCCCTCCAGCTGGCCCTGGCTTCCACACCTCACAAGACAGAACACGAAACAAAGGTTTAAATTAGATAAGTTTAGATTTCGGAAAGACCTGGGTAAATTCTGGTTCGGTAACAGGGTTGGTGATTTGTGGAACCAATTACCGCATGACGTGGTGGAGGTGGGGTCCCTTGATTGTTTTAAGCGTGGGTTGGACATGTATATAATTGGGATTGGTTGGTTATAAATCGCAATCTTTGCTTGTTACAGCCCCGCTCCTGTGCCAAGTAAGTTCATTACGGGCTCACCATAGCCCGTGATACTTGGAACGTTTTGTTCCCAGTAGCTGAATCTTAAACAACAACAGGTTATAAATAGGAGCTGCCTCGTATGAGCCAATAGTCTTTCTGCAGTTACCTTTATTCTTATGTTCTTAATGTTAATGATAGCGTCAATGTTAACGAATACAACATCAATGTTAATGATAGCGTCGAAAGTAATGATAACAGCTCTTTTTTTTATTATTATACTATTTTCTACCACAGACGCAGCATCTACAATGCTAACCAGCACATATACATTTTCTTCTGTCCTCCATGGACAGGGTTAGAGAAGTGTTAAACATATAGTTCAAGGGTTTATTGAACACTCAACCACAGAAGGTGATTAGGTGCTTTTAAAATGCTAAGCTAACCTACATACGTAAATACATATACACACAGATTTACGTATGCCCTACATAAAGTGTTTGATGTGTCTTTTACATAGTGTCATTAATGTACATTCACAAAGGTGAAATGTAATTCTGATCAGCTTCCATATATACTTTATACCCATACATATACATACACATCCCGGGACCAAAGAGCCAAAGCTCAACCCCCGCAAGCACAATTAGGTGAGTACACACACATATACATACATATATACACACACACACATGCATTCACATACATTTGTCTCATTTACTCTGACAGGGTGAGATAGCTGGTAAAGAAACTAGTGTGCAATTAAGCACTTAATCACTGAAGGTGCTTTTACAAGCTCAGGTTATATAGTTACATCATATATATACATTGTATAATTGATATATTACATGGTCAATCTTGGATACAAGTCCAATATATCATCAAGTGTTCCAGTACTCATATAGTAATTACACAGTTCAGCATACCTTAGCCCAGGAGGGCGAAAGTCAGTCAGTATGGGACATTCTACAATATAATGTTCAAGAGAGTGCATGTTTTCTCTTTCACAAAGATAACAGCTTCTAAGGTCAGAGAACTTCCGTAATGATAACGGCAACAGTGGTAATGATAACAGAATGAACGCTAAGAGTGCACGCACCTGATGAGTCTTGCAGACATCAGTAGCCTCGCCACTCTTCGTCTCCACCTTCATCATCCTTATCATGTCTGATGTTACATTGCACGTGTACTGAGCGGTGTACTAGTGCTTAACCACCACTTATCGTGAAGATGAATTATTATCCTGAGTGTGAACTGGGCGACACAGCTTGGGTTTCCTGGTACCAAGTTTAACACTTTAGCACATTGACTTATCCTGTCATCAGCCTCAAGCGCAGCCAAAGAATCCAGAGCGTGGAGCTCGTGTGCGCGTTTAGACACGACACCGCACCTTTCTCACACTCACTGGTCTAAATTACAGGACAGCATGTGTGTGCTTATCATTACGTAAGTACACCTGCTAATACACCTGTGCTCAGCGCAGCAAATAGGTCAGGGTTCAATTCACACGGCAGGATAGAAGTCTGATGCCTCTTCTTGATAGTGGGTGCAGTTTGCATGAAGTGTTTGTTCTCCCGATGACTGCACCAGTACACATGTTGGGATACGCGTTTATGCTGAGGATGATAAGAGTTTCAAAAGTGCTTGTTGTGTTGTGCTGTAGGTGGAGGAGCGGCGACTAAAACAGAGGTGTATGTTAGAGGGAGACTTGTCGCACCGTAGGGCGGTAAGCTGTGTTTACGGCGTCAGCTGATCCATGGTGTTGCCACAAGGCACTTGTTTCCTGTGTTTAGCTGTTGGTGGCGCCAGGTATAAATGTGGCACAATTTGTTGGTCGACTGGAGATATTTAGCCAGTGCTTTGACTTTGGTATTTTTCCTGTAACGAGGGGTCACCGCCGCCTCCTATATAGCAGGGCAATATAGTGCCTTTTTGGGTCTGAAGCCATATTGGCAAGAGCTAAGTATATTAAGTTTGGCAAGAGTAAAACTGCTTGTAGATTAGTTTCTCAAATATTTTTGACAAGTTTGACAGAATTGATATAGGTCTGAAGTTGTTGACGTCAGTGAGATCACCACATTTATGGACAGGGGTTACTTTCGCTTTTTTTTTTAGAATATCTGGAATGGTTTGGAATTAAAGTGACTTGTAGAGCAATGCAGTGGCAGGAGCTAAAAATCTGGAGGCTTTTTTGTAAATTAGAATTGGTATCTCCGCGAGGGCACTAGACTTTATTTTAAGGGAAAGGATTGTCTCATTAACATCAGTGGAATTAGCAGGCGTTAGGTACAGAGACTGGATAGTTACCTGCAAGGTAGTCCTGAACATTAGTACTGGAGGATGGAATATTAGAAATCTTTCATATGAAGAAAGATTAACAAAGCTTAACTTGCATTCACTCATAAATCATTTATATATATTATAAACAACAGAGGTCCCAGGACAGAGCCTTGAGGCACTCCACTTACAACATTTTCCCACTCTGACTTAACCCTATTTATACTAACTCTGTTTCCTTTGGAATAGCCATGCCATAATCCAACTTAATATATCATCCCCAATACCATGAGCCTCTATTTTTTTAATCAGTCTTTCATGTGGCACTGTATCAAAAGCTTTGCTAAAGTCAAGGTACACAACATCACAATCCTTACCACTATCAACTGCCTCAACTATGCTGGAATAAAAAGATAGCAAATTTGTTAAACATGAACGGCCATTTGTAAAACCATGTTGCGACTCATTTATTAATTTATATTTTTCAAGATGAAGACGAATTGTATTTGCAATTATCGATTCAAGTAACTTTCCCACAATAGACGTTAGGCTAATTGGCCGATAGTTTGACGCAAGTGATCTATCTCCTTTCTTAAAAATTGGTACCACATTAGCTACCTTCCATGACTCTGGCACTCTACCTAACTCTATTGATTTATTAAATATGGTAGACAGTCGCTCGGAAAGCTCCTCTTTGCATTCTTTAAGCACCCTGGCAAACACTTCATCCGGCCCTGGGGATTTGTTTGGTTTTAGTTTTACTATTTGTTTAATTACATCCTCCCTGGTAACTGCTAAACTAGTCAACCTGTCCTCGTCCCCACCCACATATATTTGTTCGGCTGAAGGCATTTTGTTAAGTTCCTCTTTAATAAATACAGATATAAAATATTTATTAAAAATACTACTACTCATCTCGTCATTATCCATTATTTGACCTGTCTCAGTTTTTAATGGACCTATCATTTCCCTAGTCTTAGTTCGATATAACTGAAAAAACACTTTAGGATTTGTCTTCACTTGCTCTGCTATGCGAACTTCGTAGTTTCTTTTTGCTTTCCTTATCTCTCTCTTTCTGATCAGGGGGAAAAAGACACAGGCAGTTTTGGGGGCTTATTTATTAGTAAATTAAATTCTGCAGAACATGTAAATATATAAGTAGGAATTAACAAATGTAACGTGTCCATGTCTGAGTACTAATATTTAACTTAAAATGTACCGCTTAGCCTAGTGACATGGCAAACACGTTCTGCAGAAGCCTAATGGCAGATGAAATGTAATTAGAACTAGGTATAACAGTCAGGACACAAAGGGTAAAATAAAGTGAATAGATCACATAACACTTAACGGAGCCCGACCAAGACATAATGGTAAATCCTAGCTGAATTAACAGGAATTAACAGGCGGGCAGAAAATACCTAGTGCCTGGGGAAAAACTGATATGACAATGGGAGAAGTTTTTCCCAGGGCGTGAGGCCGGCCGCCAAGGAATAAGGAGAAGGGTTTCCTGACTGAAGATAGGGCTTACTAGCACCTAGACTGGGTAAAGTATTAGCTACGGACAGCGGGACACTTGGGGACCGGCGCTGCACCCCCACCGCAGGCCAACTGGCCGGACCCCCCCCCCCCCCCCCCCAAGGGCGAGGCCCGCTGGCCGCAAGGAGGCCTCAGAGTGGCAGAGCAACAACGTTCCCGCCTGACGTAGGAAGTTTATTTAGGTTTATTTAGGTAAAAGTAAAGTAAGTAAAAGCGCTCCTCTTCCACCTGCCGACTGCCATTATCTCCGATTGGCGAGCCCGTCTAGAGACAGCTGGGTGGCCCTGCCGATACGAAAGGAAAGCGGGCGTAGTCAGCTGGGGGTTCCAGCTGGTTGTTGGACCCGCCATTATCTCCGTTGGCGAGCCCGTCAAGGGAGCTGAGTGGCCCTGCCAATTCTAAAGGAATGAGCGCGTAGTCGGCTGGAGGCGAGCCTAGCTCTGCGAGGGCGGCGCGAAGCGCCCTGAAGTCTTGCCTGGTCACTGGGGCACGGGGCCGGGCAGAACTTCCCGGGGGGGTCGCTCGCCAGGCTAGGGTATGCGTGCGTCCCGCGTTGTGCTAGTAGGATCCGAACATAGTGCCCATTCCTGACCATGTAAACGATACCTGGTCCAGTCAGAGCATGTGTCGACCTTTTGCCGCGTAGATTACCTCCCCGGGCTGAAAGTAATAAGGTAGTAAGGGTGGGCCCCTGCCGAATCGGCAGACTGATGAATGCAGGACTGAGTACTGGTCCACGTGTCGTTACCTGATACCTGGTTGATGGGGTTCTGGGAGTTCTTCTACTACCCAAGTCTGGCTCGAGGCCAGGCTTGTGAGAGTTTGGTCCACCAGGCTGTTGCTCGGAGCGGCCCGCAGGCCCACATACCGCTTTGTTGTTGCAAAGCAGAGACCATTTTCCGTCACCTGTCGCTGGGTTCACGTCACGTTCAGTATAAATGGGGTTAAGTCAGAGTGGGATAATGTTGTAGGTGGAGTGCCGCAAGGCTCTGTCCTGGGACCTCTGTTGTTTATAAAATATATAAATTATTTAGATTCAGGTTTGAGTAGCAACATTTGCAAATTTGCCGATGATACAAAAATCGGGAGGGAAATAAACACGGAAGAAGACTCACTATCACGTCAAATCGATCTAAATAGGGTTTTGAAATGGTCAAAAAAATACAGATGCAGTTTAATGTTGATAAATGTAAAGTTTTGAGGCTAGGTAATGATGATACAAGAGTTACAAGATACGAGCTGGATGGTGTTGAGATTGCGAAAGGGATCTGGGAGTTATGATTAGTAAGAATTTAATACCAAAAGATCAATGCATGAATGTTCGTAATAAGGTAAATTACTCTGGGATTTATTAATCGAAGCATTAGTAACAAGACACCTGGTGTGGTTCTTCAGCTATATCTTGCTTTGGTTAGGCCCAAAGCCTAACCAAACATTTATAACATTTTGCTATAAAATGATACTTTTTCACAGTAAAAATATGTTTTTCATGCTCTACATTCAGCACAACATTATAATGAATAAATATATCATATTTATTTAATACTAACGTAATGCTAGGATGCTTTGTGTAGCTTTGAGTAAGTTTGGGTAACTTAGGTAATTAGACGGACCCATTATAAGTACGTGTCCAAGTCTTAGTGAAGAGAGTACATGATCCTCAACTGGTGTAACCACTTTACCACTAATGTCTTGGAGCAATACAATCTTCCTTAAACTAGCATCATATTATTTATTTAAAAAACTTGTGTGGGGTGATGTCCTAAATCCATAAGTTCATGAACCACTACCTGGGCTATACACCCATGAACCACTACCTGGGCTATACACCCATGAACCACTACCTGGGCTATGCACCATGAACCACTACCTGGGCTATGCACCATGAACCACTACCTGGGCTATACACCCATGAACCACTACCTGGGCTATACACCCATGAACCACTACCTGGGCTATACACCCATGAACCACTACCTGGGCTATACACCCATGAACCACTACCTGGGCTATACACCCATGAACCACTACCTGGGCTATGCACCATGAACCACTACCTGGGCTATGCACCATGAACCACTACCTGGGCTATACACCCATGAACCACTACCTGGGCTATACACCCATGAACCACTACATGGGCTATACACCCATGAACCACTACCTGGGCTATGCACCATGAACCACTACCTGGGCTATACACCCATGAACCACTACCTGGGCTATGCACCATGAACCACTACCTGGGCTATGCACCATGAACCACTACCTGGGCTATACACCCATGAACCACTACCTGGGCTATACACCCATGAACCACTACCTGGGCTATACACCCATGAACCACTACCTGGACTATGCACCATGAACCACTACCTGGGCTATGAACCATGAACCACTACCTGGGCTATGAACCATGAACCACTACCTGGGCTATGCACCATGAACCACTACCTGGGCTATGCACCATGAACCACTACCTGGGCTATGAACCACGAACCTCTACCTGGACTATGAACCCAACCTATATTCTCTATACCTGGTTGATACCTGGTTGATGGGGTTCTGGGAGTTCTTCTACTCCCCAAGCCCGGCCCGAGGCCAGGCTCGACTTGTGAGAGTTTGGTCCACCAGGCTGTTGCTTGGAGCGGCCCGCAGGCCCACATACCCACCACAGCCCGGTTGGTCCGGCACTCCTTGGAGGAATAAATCTAGTTTCCTCTTGAAAATGTCCACGGTTGTTCCGGCAATATTTCTTATGCTTGCTGGGAGGACGTTGAACAACCGCGGACCTCTGTAGAATATGATGTAGAAGACCTCGTATGTCTTGTTTAAAAGTGTCTAGGTAAATACTCTTTAAAGAATCAAGAAATAAATAGGAAACAGAACAGAAGTGTGTGTTTTAAACCCATTGTGATTCTCTTACATAAAATTTGGATACAAATAAACATATACATTGCAGATTTTATTGTCTCAATAACCATTTAGGTTCATATATATATTTTTTTGTTTTTATAATGCTCATATTTTTGTACTTTTATTAATTGCAATTACATCTAGTTAATGAGTACATTAATAAACTAGTCCAAATCAGTCGGTCGTCATCAAATATCAACAAGGTCGGGTACAGTTCCGTGACATCATCAGTAAGGAATATGGGGCTAGATCCTGGTATATAATGAACACCAACATTATTACAGAAGATGGGAGCACGGCTCTGTATGGGGCTGGATACACCACGATTTTGCCAACCACAACAGTTACGTGCTCAACACCAGTTAAATATTTGGTCCCACAGCCTTGATTTGTTTTCACATGCAAGTGTTACCATCATGTTTCATCATTCACATACATGGGTTACCATCATGTTTCATCATACACATACATGGGTTACCATCATGCTTCATCATACACATACATGGGTTACCATCATGTTTCATCATTCACATACATGGGTTACCATCATGTTTCATCATACACATACATGGGTTACCATCATGTTTCATCATACACATACATGGGTTACCATCATGCTTCATCATACACATACATGGATTACCATCATGCTTCATCATACACATACATGGATTACCATCATGCTTCATCATACACATACATGGATTACCATCATGCATCATCATACACATACATGGGTTACCATGTTTCATCATTCACATACATGGATTACCATCATGTTTCATCATACACATACATGGATTACCATCAAAACTGGTGGGCAAATATTTATTGGCTTAAATTCTTCAAACTATTTCGGTGGAAATTCAATGGGCTTGAGTCCTGCGGAGTTATCACATAGTTGACACTCACACTCCTTGATGTTATCATATTTATAAGTGGTGTTCTTCCCAGACTCACACTGCAGCTCTACCGATATCTTGATAAATGCAGAGGGTTTGCAACACTTGCATGTAGACACATGCATTGCTTCTTCACCTAAACGATAAGATATATATTTTTATTGAATCCATTTAAAAATCGAGTTGGACTTACAAGACTTTGTATATATACACATTATTTCAGTTTATTATGTACTGGGCACTATGTAGTGTTTATTAAACAAGGCCTGTAGTTATTTTTGTAATAATTGTAATTGTAGTTATTTGTAGCACTGTATATTAGGTGTCATTATACTTGAGTATGACTGATGTTGACTGTCAACCATTCTGGTCACAACACTGAGGTCACCTGGGGTCACAACACTGGGGTCACCTGGGGTCACAACACTGGGGTCACCTGGGGTCACAACAGTGGTCACCTGGGGTCACAACACTGTGGTTACCTGGGGTCACAACAGTGGTCACCTGGGGTCACAACACTGTGGTCACCTGGGGTCACAACACTGGGGTCACCTGGGGTCACAACAGTGGTCACCTGGGGTCACAACACTGGGGTCACCTGGGGTCACAACAGTGGTCACCTGGGGTCACAACACTGTGGTCACCTGGGGTCACAACACTGAGGTCACCTGGGGTCACAACACTGAGGTCACCTGGGGTCACAATACTGGGGTCACCTGGGGTCACAACACTGTGGTCACCTGGGGTCACAACACTGTGGTCACCTGGGGTCACAACACTGTGGTCACCTGGGGTCACAACACTGTGGTCACCTGGGGTCACAACACTGTGGTCACCTGGGGTCACAACACTGTGGTCACCTGGGGTCACAACACTGTGGTCACCTGGGGTCACAACACTGTGGTCACCAGGGGTCACAACACTGTGGTCACCTGGGGTCACAACACTGTGGTCACCTGGGGTCACAACACTGTGGTCACCTGGGGTCACAACACTGTGGTCACCTGGGGTCACAACACTGTGGTCACCTGGGGTCACAACACTGTGGTCACCTGGGGTCACAACACTGTGGTCACCTGGGGTCACAACACTGGTCACCAGGGGTCACAACACTGTGGTCACCTGGGGTCACACACTGTGGTCACCTGGGGTCACAACACTGTGGTCACAACACTGAGGTCACCTGGGGTCACAACACTGTGGTCACCTGGGGTCACAACACTGTGGTCACCTGGGGTCACAACACTGTGGTCACCTGGGGTCACAACACTGTGGTCACCTGGGGTCACAACACTGTGGTCACCTGGGGTCACAACACTGTGGTCACCTGGGGTCACAACACTGTGGTCACCTGGGGTCACAACACTGTGGTCACCTGGGGTCACAACACTGTGGTCACCTGGGGTCACAACACTGTGGTCACCTGGGGTCACAACACTGTGGTCACCTGGGGTCACAACACTGTGGTCACCTGGGGTCACAACACTGTGGTCACCTGGGGTCACAACACTGTGGTCACCTGGGGTCACAACACTGTGGTCACCTGGGGTCACAACACTGGTCACCAGGGGTCACAACACTGTGGTCACCTGGGGTCACAACACTGGTCACCTGGGGTCACAACACTGTGGTCACCTGGGGTCACAACACTGTGGTCACCTGGGGTCACAACACTGTGGTCACCTGGGGTCACAACACTGTGGTCACCTGGGGTCACAACACTGTGGTCACCTGGGGTCACAACACTGTGGTCACCTGGGGTCACAACACTGTGGTCACCAGGGGTCACAACACTGTGGTCACCTGGGGTCACAACACTGTGGTCACCTGGGGTCACAACACTGTGGTCACCTGGGGTCACAACACTGTGGTCACCTGGGGTCACAACACTGTGGTCACCTGGGGTCACAACACTGAGGTCACCTGGGGTCACAACACTGAGGTCACCTGGGGTCACCTGGGGTCACAACACTGGGGTCACCTGGGGTCACAACACTGTGGTCACCTGGGGTCACAACACTGTGGTCACCAGGGGTCACAACACTGTGGTCACCTGGGGTCACAACACTGTGGTCACCTGGGGTCACAACACTGTGGTCACCTGGGGTCACAACACTGTGGTCACCTGGGGTCACCTGGGGTCACAACACTGTGGTCACCTGGGGTCACAACACTGTGGTCACCTGAGGTCACAACACTGTGGTCACCTGAGGTCACAACACTGAGGTCACAAACTCAGAGACCAAGTACATGACATGAAAATAGCCTTATCAAATAATTGATCTAAACAGATAAGCAGCCAAGTGTACAGAAATGTCAACACATTATAGCGTGTCAACGCCCCTTACCTTGGTAGCTAGTGGAGGAGTTACACTGCCCGTAGCACTGCATAAACTTTTCCACAGCAAAATTATTTTTACATTTTCCGGACTCCGGGTTAAATTTCTTAAAGATGCCCACAGTGTCTTGGGGAGGCATTTCCTCTGGCACACACACTATTGGAAGTCATAATTTTGTTATAAGACAATTCATAACATTCTCTTTGTCTATTTTCCACATCCAGTTGTATAACAAATACAAAACATTCACAAAAGGTTACAGGAAAGTTGGGTAAACCTCTTTGTTTTTAACTTATTTAATAAGAAGTAAATTAAAACTATTAATGAAAAGTCTGGCGCTTTTAGTAGATCTTTCCTATAAGTGGTGTTACTCTTGTCCCCACTTCCACGTTCTCACACGTACTCTTTATGACTAGCACCCGCTAGCTGTAAAGTTAGAGCCGCTAGCTGTGCTGTATGTAGAGCTCTCACTACTAGCTGTACTATATGTAGAGCTCTCACTGCTAGCTGTACTGTATGTAGAGCTCTCTCACTGCTAGCTGTACTATATGTAGAGCTCTCACTGCTAGCTGTACTATATATAGTACCACATTTACAACCCTCCAATATTCTGGTTACCAGCATGCACTGAGGCCGAGTAAATATACAAAAAGTATGTGTCCACCTACGACATCGCTACTATTTAAATATAGCTAACCACACTTAGTCTAAAGTGACTTAGCCTAATGTAAATAACAAAAATTGTTGTTTTATATATTCTGTGGACGAGATGTGTGACTTCACTATGACGTTTTAATGTTTATATCAGTACAGGTTTTAGACTCCTACTGACTAAGGTGGTGGTGTTTAAACTATCTGCTCTCCTCTCTCCAGTCCTTTGTATATAAACTCGGTAATGTCACTTATGTCACTAAACTCTAAATGCAAACAGCAATTATCTGTCAGTGTTTTGTATGTAAATTAAAGTGCAAAATAAATCTATGATTAAATTTCAAACTTGTTTATTATTCTAAATGATCGTCTTAGGCAAAGACATTGGATACTTACCGCGTTGCTTTTGTCCGCAATAACTGCAGCAACCCGAGTCGTCCTGATATGTGTCTTCGGCAGGACACTCCGGGTTAAAGTGGGGGCATTCTATGTGATCAACGACCAGTGTTGGGACGTCGCTCGACTATAAATAAATAAATAAATAAATAAATAAATAAAAAATAAATAAATAGTTTATTCAGGTAAGGTACATACATACAAGAGGTTTTACAAAAAATGATAGATTTATAGATAGAGCTAGTACATACAATGCCTAAAGCCACTATTGCGCAAAGCGTTTCGGGCAGAAGCTATCTCTCAGCTATCGTTGCGACAAGGGTTGTCGCTGACCCACTGATCGCCCACGGAATATGTGTATCAAAATACTGTACACACAAAAAAGTCAAGACCAGCAATCAACAGCCAATTAATGCACAACTATATTCTACCCACTTCAAGACTCCGAACCAATATAGAAGCATCAAGAGGAAGTATGGGCCAATAGGCCCTCTGCAGTTACTTCCATTCTTATGCTCTCATATCCAATTAATACCCACAGTTTCGTGTTCTATCTTGTATTTGTCACAAGTTTGTTCACCTCACCCAAATGCGAGTACAAGTATGACGGATTTGCTGACTGTGTTTTTTTTTTCCCAAACTACGGGCTCACCATAGCCCATGCTACTTGGAACTGTTTTTTCCAAGTAGCAAATCTTAAACAACATGACTCTGTTTAGTGTTTACAGGTTACAATTGTGTGTGTAAACTAAAGTCTTTGAAAATGTAATAAGTTATTACAAAACGCGTTCAAGTGTCGCGTCAGACTAGAAATAGAAATGAATGTTTTAGAATTGATTTTTCAATTACCATCGACAGTAAAAAGAAACATAAGAAATATTGAGAAAATTCGTGTAAGAATTATTAACCTTACTTTTTTGGTCATATTTAAATATATCACACACATGTATATACGACACACATGTATATTCCACACACATACATGTATATACCACACATGTACATGTATATACCTGTACCACACACATACATTGTATATACCACATACACACACACACATACATGTACTGTATATACCACAGTTAAGTATATCGACTCATTAATGGGGTTTTATAATGAAAAATGTGTACAATTTAAATGAATTAACACAATTTCGATATTATTTTCAAGATAAAAAATCATGTGAATATGAGATAGATACAGGATGTCTATTAAAGGTTTAGCATGCACACACGCATATATTAAATGCAACACAGGCTAAGAATTGTATAAAGTTTACTTACATTTTTGTTACACGTATAGGTGGTGCAGTTGTCGTCTGAGTTCCAGATCTTGCCCACTGGTATCGTCTCATTCTTCCAAGGACACCCCACCTACCACAGTGTACACACTTATCATTAAACAAAGTTTTCAAAGTTTTGAGCCAAATAATTGTTGTTGAGAATACCACATACATGTGATAGAGATACATATGTGGGAAGCCATCCTCTTAAAATTACAAGGGCTTATAACAATTGCTGGGTCAAACTTTCCCATATGTTTGGCAGGACAAAAAATTTCCTGTTTTGTACCATTCATTTTGTAGAGAGCATGAAATATATACTGAAATGCATGCTTACACATTCCTAGGCTTACTAAAGCGCGTATGTGTACTATATTAGTCCTGAGAAACAGTATATTTGGCATAGGATTGCTAGGTCAGATCAGGTTCATTCAGTTACATTTCCAATTTTGTAGAATACCATTTTGTGAACTTTTGGAGGTTCAACAGTATATTTTATTACATGTCAGCACACAATTGATGTTATCTTGAGGTTATCTTGAGATGATTTCGGGGCTTTAGTGTCCCTGCGGCCCGGTCCTCGACCAGGCCTCCACCCCCAGGAAGCAGCCCGTGACAGCTGACTAACCCCCAGGTACCTATTTACTGCTAGGTAACAGGGGCATTCAGGGTGAAAGAAACTTTGCCCATTTGTTTCTGCCTCGTGAGGGAATCGAACCCGCGCCACAGAATTACGAGTCCTGCGCGCTATCCACCAGGCTACGAGGCCCCCTCGTAGACTGGTTGTAAGTACTGCCACTTTAGGGGGACAGGATGACGCGTGGTTAGGCCCAACTGGCAGTTGAATTAAGACACAAGTCTATGCAACAGTCCCTGATAAACTGACCGAGTTGCCTGCTTGTAAAACTTGTACACAAATCAACTGAAGGTAGAAAGACTGACCCATAGAGCTACAGATAAACTCCAACCCACCTAGGTTAGTACAGCTAAGGATAGTAATTACTCGCCCTCACACATTCACCCCATTTACCCCTTCCCCTCCACTTCACACTCATCCCAACCCGCATACACACTTTATCCCCCCCCCCATCACATTCACCGCATTATCCCCCCCCCAAACACACACATCATCCTCCCCTCCCCCCTCCACATACACACAATCATCCTCTTCCCCCCCCCCACACACACACACCACATCATGTAGTGTGCTAGAATACACAAACTGGAAAAGGTGCAAAGACATGGAAGTAAATAGTTCCCAGAACTGAAGGACAAGAGCTACAAGGAGAGGTTAGAGGCATTAAATATGCCAAAACTAGACGATAGAATAAAACGAGGCGATATGATCACTACATACAAAATAGTAACAGGAATCACTAAAATTGATCGGGAAGAATTCCTGGGACCTGGAACTTCAAGAACAAGAGATCATAGATTTTAACTATGTAAACAAAGTTGCCGAAGGAATATAAGTAAATTAATTTTCGCAAACAGAGTGGTAGACGGTTGGAACAAGTTAGGGGAGAAGGTGGTGGAGGCCAAGACCGTCAGTAGTTTCAAAGCGTTATATGACAAAGAGTGCTGGGAAGACGGGACACCACGAGCGTAGCTCTCATCCTGTAACTACACTTAGGTAATTACACACACACACATACTCACACACACACACATTCAGTAATTACATATTATAACCCATTGCATACTTTATTCCCCAAAAAGTCACTTTTGGGGAATGGTCACTTTTATCAACGTGTGTGTGTGTGTGTGTGTGTGTGTGTGTGTGTGTGTGTGTGTGTGTGTGTGTGCGCGCGCAGCTCCTAGGAGGGCTAGGAGCTTAGCTCGACCTTGCAAGCACATCTAGGTGAGAACACACACACACACACACCATAGTGTATAGTAGGTCACTGGAAACGGGAGACCTACCAGAAATATGGAAGACTGCTAATGTATTACCAATATACAAAAAGGGTGACAGACAAGAGGCACTGAACTACAGGCCAGTGTCCTTGACTTGTATACCATGCAAGGTGATGGAGAAGATTGTGAGAAAAAACCTGGTAACACATCTGGAGAGAAGGGACTTCGTGACAAATCGCCAACATGGGTTCAGGGAGGGTAAATCTTGCCTTACAGGCTTGATAGAATTCTACAACCAGGTGACAAAGATTAAGCAAGAAAGAGAAGGCTGGGCGGAGTGCATTTTCTGGGATTGTCGGAAAGCCTTTGACACAATACCGCATAAGAAGCTGGTACCTAAGCAATAGGAAGCAGAGAGTTGCGGTGAGGGGTGAGATCTCAGATTGGCGTGGTCATCAGTGGAGTCCCACAGGGCTCTGTACTCGGTCCTATCTTGTTTCTGATATATGTAAATGATCTCTCAGAGGGTATAGATTCATTTCTCTCAATGTTTGCTGACGATGCCAAAATTATGAGAAGGATTAAGACAGAGGAGGACAGCTTGAGGCTTCAAGAAGACCTAGACAAGGTGAAGGAATGGTCGAACAAATGGTTGTTAAGAGTTTAACCCAAGCAAATGTAATGTAATGAAGATAGGTGTAGGGAGCAGGAGGCCAGATACTAGGTATCATCTAGGAGATGAAATTCTTCAAGAGTCAGAGAGAGAAAAAGACCTGGGGGTTGATATCACGCCAGACCTGTCCCCTGCAGCCCATATCAAGAGGATAACATCAGCGGCATATGCCAGGCTGGCCAACATAAGAACGGTATTCAGAAACTTGTGTAAGGAATCATTCAGAACTTTGTATACCACATATGTCAGACCAATCCTGGAGTATGCAGCCCCAGCATGGAGTCCATATCTAGTCAAGGATAAGACTAAACTGGAAAAGGTTCAAAGGTTTGCCACCAGACTAGTACCCGAGCTGAGAGGTATGAGCTACGAGGAGAGACTACGGGAATTAAACCTCACTTCGCTAGAAGACAGAAGAGTTAGGGGGACATGATCACCACATTAAAGATTCTCAAGGGAATCGATAGGGTAGATAAAGACAGGCTATTTAACACAAGGGGCACACACACTAGGGGACACAGGTGGAAACTGAGTGCCCAAATGAGCCACAGAGATATTAGAAAGAACTTTTTTAGTGTCAGAGTGGTTGACAAATGGAATGCATTAGGAAGTGATGTGGTGGAGGCTGACTCCATACATAGTTTCAAGTGTAGATATGATAGAGCCCAATAGGCTCAGGAACCTGTACACCTGTTGATTGACGGTTGAGAGGCGGGACCAAAGAGCCAGAGGTCAACCCCCGCAAGTACAATTAGGTGAGTACAATTAGGCGAGTACACACACACTTTCACGCACATAATTAACACTGTCACCCACATACGAATAAAGGAATATATAGGCTGCCTACAAGCCGGCCATACTCGCACACGCTCACCTGTTTACATTGCCCACAGCACTGGTTAGTGTTTTGGGGCGGTGGTTGATAATGATAGCCTTCGGGGCAAGACTCGTTACAATCTTTAATCGTCTCTCTCGCCTTCACCTCGCCTTCTTCGGTCTTCACACACTCCACACTTCGACACCTTTCAGTTTTATTATCTCCAACCTGTCAAAATGTGTTTAGATTTTATATCTATATTCACTTTTAACACACAAGATTTAATGTAATTAAAACATATGACAATGTAAGAACATAAGAACAAAGGCAACTGCAGAAGGCCTATTGGCCCATACGAGGCAGCTCCTATCTATAACCACCCAATCCAACTCCTATACATGTCCAACCCGCGCTTGAAACAATCCAGGGACCCCACTGTCCTAAGAACTAACTGTCAGGTTCTGAAGAGGAAAATACCTAATGGAGTTTCATCTGAAACTGATCAGTTGTTGTAAATGGCCGGAGATCACATTGTAAAGTCGTCACTCACGACTTTGTGATTACTGAACTTTTAGGGGTCCAGGTAGCACAGTCGGATTCATTCTCGACCCACAAATGGAGAATTCTGGGTTCGAATCCTGGGCAAGACAGAAATGGGTGCGTTTCCTATCACCTAATCCCCTGTCCACCCAGGAGTTAGTCGGCTTGTTGTGACATTACATCCTAGGGAGGGTCAGTAATTTAACCACGGGGAGAACCAATCATGTACAGTCTGTATAAACTGGATTCCTGTCCCCCAACACAATTATTATTATTATAAATATTAATTATAGCCTATTAATCTTCAGTTTTTTTTTTTTTTTGAGATATATAGAAGAGTTGTTACATTCTTGTACAGCCACTAGTACGCGTAGCGTTTCGGGCAAGTCCTTAATCCTATGGTCCCTGGAATACGATCCCCTGCCGCGAAGAATCGTTTTTTCATCCAAGTACACATTTTACTGTTGCGTTAAACAGAGGCTACGTGTAGCGTTTTGGGTTAAATTACCAATCAAGCTGTCAATGCAATCAATCAGAGCTTTAATATACCAATGTGCTTTAATATACCTACTAATCTCTCTCATCTCATTTTTTTTCTTTCTTGCAATGTATCCGTTATCATTTTATTAATTCTGCTAGACTTTACCTACTTAAAATTATCTGTTAGATTAAAGACCTACCCGAAACGCTGCGCGTACTAGTAACTTTACAAGATTGTAAATACCATGCTATGCATTCTCACAAACCCAATATACCTTCTTGTATCTTAGCGAAGTATCCAAAATTTGCTTACTGTAGGTGCAGCATGCACATGACTGTAAAGCTGCCGCCCAGTTGGGTGGGTGTGGAGCACATGACTGTAAAGCTGCCGCCCAGTTGGCTGGGTGTGGAGCACATGATTGTAAAGCTGCTGCCCAGTTGGGTGGGTGTGGAGCACATGATTGTAAAGCTGCCGCCCAGTTGGGTGGGTGTGGAGCACATGATTGTAAAGCTGTCGCCCAGTTGGGTGGGTGTGGAGCACATGACTGTAAAGCTGCCGCCCAGTTGGGTGGGTGTGGAGCACATGACTGTAAAGCTGCCGCCCAGTTGGGTGGGTGTGGAGCACATGACTGTAAAGCTGCCGCCCAGTTGGGTGGGTGTGGAGCACATGACTGTAAAGCTGCCGCCCAGTTGGGTGGGTGTGGAGCACATGACTGTAAAGCTGCCGCCCAGTTGGGTGGGTGTGGAGCACATGATTGTAAAGCTGCCGCCCAGTTGGGTGGGTGTGGAGCACATGATTGTAAAGCTGCCGCCCAGTTGGGTGGGTGTGGAGCACATGATTGTAAAGCTGCCGCCCAGTTGGGTGGGTGTGGAGCACATGATTGTAAAGCTGTCGCCCAGTTGGGTGGGTGTGGAGCACATGATTGTAAAGCTGCCGCCCAGTTGGGTGGGTGTGGAGCACATGATTGTAAAGCTGCCGCCCAGTTGGGTGGGTGTGGAGCACATGACTGTAAAGCTGCCGCCCAGTTGGGTGGGTGTGGAGCACATGACTGTAAAGCTGCCGCCCAGTTGGGTGGGTGTGGAGCACATGATTGTAAAGCTGCCGCCCAGTTGGGTGGGTGTGGAGCACATGATTGTAAAGCTGTCGCCCAGTTGGGTGGGTGTGGAGCACATGATTGTAAAGCTGCCGCCCAGTTGGGTGGGTGTGGAGCACATGATTGTAAAGCTGCCGCCCAGTTGGGTGGGTGTGGAGCACATGACTGTAAAGCTGCCGCCCAGTTGGGTGGGTGTGGAGCAGCACATGACTGTAAAGCTGCCGCCCAGTTTGGGTGGGTGTGGAGCACATGACTGTAAAGCTGCCGCCCAGTTGGGTGGGTGTGGAGCACATGACTGTAAAGCTGCCGCCCAGTTGGGTGGGTGTGGAGCACATGACTGTAAAGCTGCCGCCCAGTTGGGTGGGTGTGGAGCACATGACTGTAAAGCTGCCGCCCAGTTGGGTGGGTGTGGAGCACATGACTGTAAAGCTGCCGCCCAGTTGGGTGGGTGTGGAGCAGTTGGGTGGGTGTGGAGCACATGATTGTAAAGCTGCCGCCCAGTTGGGTGGGTGTGGAGCACATGATTGTAAAGCTGCCGCCCAGTTGGGTGGGTGTGGAGCACATGATTGTAAAGCTGTCGCCCAGTTGGGTGGGTGTGGAGCACATGACTGTAAAGCTGCCGCCCAGTTGGGTGGGTGTGGAGCACATGACTGTAAAGCTGCCGCCCAGTTGGGTGGGTGTGGAGCACATGACTGTAAAGCTGCCGCCCAGTTGGGTGGGTGTGGAGCACATGACTGTAAAGCTGCCGCCCAGTTGGGTGGGTGTGGAGCACATGACTGTAAAGCTGCCGCCCAGTTGGGTGGGTGTGGAGCACATGACTGTAAAGCTGCCGCCCAGTTGGGTGGGTGTGGAGCACATGACTGTAAAGCTGCCGCCCAGTTGGGTGGGTGTGGAGCACATGATTGTAAAGCTGCCGCCCAGTTGGGTGGGTGTGGAGCAAGACTAGTAACTGTGTGACTCACCATAGATGTAAAGTGCCTTGTATAGTGACTGTTGTGAGCCTCTTGTTGATCACTTGTGACAAAAGATTATTGATGTGTGTATTTGTGCGGGTGATTAAATATGTATGTGTATGTAAATATGTATACGTATGTATATATGTACATGTATGATTGTGTGTACATGTATATGTAACATTAATAATTGTGTAACTAGCGTCAAAAATTGTTATTTGCTTAGCTAAACGAACTAGAGGGTTCAGTTCCTCAACCGATTATGTGCCTCTGTAATCCTTTACACCACCGCCCACGGGATGGGTATGGGGTGCATAATAAAGAAATTGAATTAAATTGTATATAAATAAATAAATTATACTGAGTGGTCTGCTTCCTTAAACCACATGGATTCCTATCTACATATCTGTGATGTGCTGAATTTTGATTAAGGTTCTAAATAGTAACTGGCAAGTATACCTTTGTTGTAAACAGAGTATTCTCAAATTATAACTGAATGTGTATGTATGTATGTTAGCCATCATTAACCACGTTTTCTTTTATGAGCTTTAAAGTCAAGGTTTTCTTTTAAAATTAAATCTAGGGTATACTCAAGCAGGCCAGAATTTCATGTTTTCACATGTCTGATGATGCATTACAGTAGCATAACCTTATCTGAAGTAGAGAAACATAACATCACCTTAATCTAATCTAATTAAGGATAGGAGATACAGAAGCACTAATTACCTAGTGTGTTTTAACATGTGTATAACAAAGTTCCAATACATATACCCCTGGGAGGATATATGCTATGTGTGCTAGTCGCTGTTAAACAGTGTAAAAACTCTTGTACATATAAATAACTAAAAATATATAATAATTATATGACAGAATTAAACTGAGATGATAAGAAAAATAAAATTTAATTTAGGCTGCATTGAAATGTTGGATTATAATAATGTAATTAGAACCTGGCAGGCCTAAACTATTGTAATCTCAGGCGGACAGAAATGGTTGGGCACATTTCCTTTCACCTAATGCAGCTGTTCACCTAACAGTAAACAGGCACCCAGGAGTTAGTCAACTTGTCGTGGGGTTGCATCCTGGGAGGGGTCAGTAATTCGACCTTGGGGGGGGGGAAGGGGGGGGTGGACCCGGTAAATGCCTAAAGTGTATGAATACTGTCTGGCTTCCTGTCCCCAGACACAATGAATTAATAAAAGCCTGGTAGGCCTATACTATTGTTGAGAGACAGGAGACATGTCAGGATTGTCGAGGTTCATCTAGCCGAAGACAAGGCTGAAAACATACGTAATCAATGTACAAAAGTGGCGGAAACAATGAATTCACCGTTATGGTAGATACACAAAGCAACATAAAAGTTAATATACTCTTCCTGTGTTGTCTTTATCTTGTGTTAGTTAAATTTCACATATGATAACGACAAGCATGGCAGATGACTTACTTTAATGATAACTCCGTTATCCTTACAAGCAATTTTCTTGATGACGGGGCAGCACTCATTTGGTACTCTCTTCTCCTCGTACTGGTCGTTGTCAAAGTGGGTATTGCGGGAACATTCCGTTTGGACACACTGATAGTGAGGGTAGCCGTCAGAGTCCTCCAAGCACTTACAGCTCCGGCATAACCCGTCAAGCCACTTCCCACCAATCTGGCCGATGAAACATAGAGTCATTTCACCGAGGATTTTATCAATTTGCATAAAATAGCCAAGTTTTGCTCACAATAAAGCCATATAATACAGAGTATATAGAATAATTATACACAATATGTTACCAGTGTGACGGTAACGATATGTCAATATATCTGCAATGAGTGGCTAAAACTATATATTATGGATACATGATTCTAAAACAAAAATACACCTCTGATTATTGAAAATAAATCACTAATGTTTAATGAACATTCACAAATGTCAATATAATTTTATTCAAAATTATATGAAGAAGTAACATTAGAAGTACTGACTTTTTTGTAGCTGATGTGTGTTGACCATTAACCACACTAGTCCTAGCTGTAGTGTTGACCATTAACCACACTAGTCCTAGCTGTAGTGTTGACCATTAACCACACTAGTCCTAGCTGTAGTGTTGACCATTAACCACACTAGTCCTAGCTGTAGTGTTGACCATTAACCACACTAGTTCCTAGCTGTAGTGTTGACCATTAACCACACTAGTCCTAGCTGTAGTGTTGACCATTAACCACACTAGTCCTAGCTGTAGTGTTGACCATTAACCACACTAGTCCTAGCTGTAGTGTTGACCATTAACCACACTAGTCCTAGCTGTAGTGTTGACCATTAACCACACTAGTCCTAGCTGTAGTGTTGACCATTAACCACACTAGTTCCTAGCTGTAGTGTTGACCATTAACCACACTAGTCCTAGCTGTAGTGTTGACCATTAACCACACTAGTCCTAGCTGTAGTGTTGACCATTAACCACACTAGTCCTAGCTGTAGTGAGGATCAATACTAACCACACAGTATTAGTTTTAACTCGTTCTTAAACCAAATAAGAAATCAACAAACATCTGGTTGTCCACGTCACCCTTAACCCAATATGAATGTAAACACTAAATAAAGTCTAGACCACTAAAATCCCTTTAAATCGCAAAGTGTTAATATTAGTTGAGGAGAGTTAACACCTTCCTGCTTGTGAAATACATCCCTGAAACTCTCATCTATAGTCTTGTAGAGCCCCTGAGGGTTAGTGTAAACAATAGGAAAATACTGAAATAAACAAGATTAACTGTTTACCGGGTAAAGTTCTTTCTTGGTATCATTTTCGAAGCTACGCTCAAACTTGTCTTCATCAAGCCAGTACTTATGTTCATATATGCACTCCGATGGAGGCTCTGAAATTACAATCAAGTGAAAATATCAAATATTTTAGACACGAAAATTGCAGTGGCTTCATACCATCACCCAGCCCGTCCTCCAAAAATGGGGTGGTAAATGTAAGAAGACAATTAAGTGCAATTATGTACTATTCATAGCAGTTAGGAATTGTACTTATTTTCACTTAGTATTAAATCGTATTGTCAAATATATTGTGAATATTTGAGTTTACCTGAAAAACTGAATAGAAAACCACGACCTCACCTAACCTTCTTAGTTTTTGAAGATAATAACTTTATTGCTTCCTAATTACAATTAGTACTTAACCTATAGCTATATTGACATTACAGTTTTATAAAACTAATAAAACACACATCACCACCATTTAAGACACAAGTGTTAGGTTCAAATGTTCGCCGCTGATGCGCCACACAATCCGAGGCGGGACCAAAGAGCCAGAGCTTAACCCCCGCAAGCACAATTAGGTGAGTACAATACAAAACACATCAACCTTATGCAACAAGGAAATGCAGGTCATAATTACTTGTAGATTCATACAGGTATTCTATTCTAATTAGCTGACCGATCTGATATCTATAAACTAATAATTAAAAATTTACAATACCCTTCCAAAACTTATTTTTTTGAAAAATGAAAAATTAAATGACCCGACCAGGATTCGAACTCATGACGCCCAGGATCACCGCCAAATGAACACGGTACTATGACCACCTTACCTTTGATCATCTAGATCAATGATTAGATGATCTCACATTGATTGTCTCACCAGGCTGTTGTAGTACAGTGGACGTTTGGGGGAGATCCTGGGCGTCATTGGTTCGAATCCTGGTCGGGTTTTTAGTGATTATATATATATATATATATATATATATATATATATATATATATATATATATATATATATTATATATATATATTATATATTATATATATATATATCACTAAGAACTCTTAGACCCGGCCAGGATTCGAACCCATGCCGTCTAGGATCACCCCTAAACGTACACAGTACCGTGACCACCGCACCAATGATCGATGTGGTGGTCACGGTACTGTGTACGTTTAGGGGTGATCCTAGACGGCATGGGTTCGAATCCTGGCCGGGTCAAAGAGTTCTTAGTGATATTATATTTGTGTAAGAAGGGAAGGGTGAACATATTGTTACTTCTTTAGCAATATGAACTGTGGGGGTTGTGTTTGAGCCCATTATGTGCCTGTGTAAACCTTTCTACCACCACTCACGGCATGGGTATGGGGTGAATAATAAATGATTTAATAATACTAATAGAACAAATGGTGCAGTGTTTTCTGGCCGGCGCTGTCTAGGGTGGTCTCCAGCGAGAGTCCAGCAAGAACCCCAGCAAGATGAACATTTCAGTTTACATGCAATGAATGAAAGTGACATAAGAATACTTACTGCAGGCGTACTGTGGGCACCTTTCACCTGGGTTGACCTGGATAAGCTTCTCATGAGTGCTGCAAATCGGTGTCCTCTGTGGAAAACATTGTATTATAAAAAATGGTAAAATATTAAATGGTAAAAAAACATTGAATGGGAAAACTGTGGTAAAGTTTGAATGGTCCCCAAGCCAATATACAGTCAAAAAATCCCTTGGGGATTCTTGGCTTCCAAATTGGCTTGGTAAACAAGCCAATTTGGGAAATTTGGCTTAGGGATCATGCAAGCTATATGCACACTTGATGGTCATGCAGCCCTAGCATGTTGAAATATAGATTTGCTGAAATACATGTGCCCAATAATGTCACGAGTGTTGTCGGGTGTTGGGTGCATATAGGTCTCACGACTTCCCAATATTTTAAACAATTGCTGGCTGAGTGGTTACAGCACTGGGCTGATGGGGGCATAGAAGCCCTCGCTGACCAGGAGCGAATCCGTCAGGAGGATGAAGAGTTTTCGAATGTATATTGGCTTGGGGACCATTGAAACCTTACACACACACACACACACACACACACACACACACACACACACACACACACCTTAGCAACTACAAAATGAGTAGTTGCTTAGATGCAAAGGGAGTACCTAAGTACTGTATATTATCGTTATTTTAAGGTGAAGAAAAAAGTGAATTACTATATAATGTATTACACATATTTATACAATTTGCACAACGTTTCGAACCTCCACGGTTAATTCTCAAGTGAAAAGAAATTACAGAACTCGTTAAATTTATACCCGTACGGGGTCAGGTGATGAAACAAGTAGAATAAAGGAAAAGGCAAGGGGATAAATAGGGGATAAATGGGGGATAAATAGGGGACGAAGCACATAACGAAGATTATGATAGATAACGAAGATAACGAAGATTAACGAGGTGTAATAGGCCTGTTATGTTGAGTAGTGTCTTCTGTGCTGGCATCGTTATATTCCGGTCTTGTCCTTACTCTCATGGTGGGTAGAGTAAATAGTTCCGTGATTTGGGAATATAGTTAATTCCCAAAATAGTCAGAGGAATAGACGCCCTAAATTAGAAGATAGTAAATAAAGAATATGAGGTCTTATTCAATGAGACATGTACTGGCCCATGGGAAGCACTTCTATTATACAGAGGCAAATACTGTACTTACATGAGGGCAGCCGGTGCAGCCGTAGACAGGGCATGGCGTCCCTGACTTCCACCAGAGGAAGGGCATGTAGCCTGGATGACATGACCACGCCCCACGGCATGAGCTCTCACACTTGAACTGTACAACACAAATGCTTAAAGTAATCTCTCACTTGAACTATTGAAACTAATCACAGTAATCTCACACTTCAGTTCCCCAAAACGAACACATTTTCACTAGAAATGGTCACAGGGTCATATGGACCCTGAGAGCCTTAGTTACCAGCACTAGGTCATATGGACCCTGAGAGCCCTAGTTACCAGCACTAGGCCACATGGACCCTGAGAGCCTTAGTTTCCAGCACTAGGCCACATGGATCTGCACACTGGCTAGACCACCATATTGCCAATTACGATCATTTAATAGGAAAAAGGTTAACCCTACTGCAAATCTGAAGTTTAACTATAATATAAATACCTTTTTCTCACATACACTTTAAATGGGAGAAGTTGGGGAAGATGGTAAGTCTTCTAGGTTCAGTTTTCAATCCTCCTGAACCATAAAGATGGGATTTCAATAGCTGGATCGACATAACTGGCTGGTATGGAGTTTAAAATGCGACCTGATAGACTACCAGTAGACAGCAGCCAGGAATTTCTTGAAGAGGCTCAGAATCATAATTTATCAAGGACTACGCATGCAGTTACTTAATAATGCTAAAATATACTTCTTGACTTTTATTATTGATCAGGAAACAGAGGGTGAGAATATATGAAGTACAATGAGAGGGGAAACTGTTGGAATCGGAGTGCCCGAGGGCTAAGTCCTGGGACCTCACTTCTTTGTCACGTGCACCACTGAGTTACATACACGAGTGAACAGTAATCAGAAAATTTGTAGGCGACTCAAATATGGCGGATAATGAATTCCGATCCACGTTTAGAAATGGTCCAAGAAGACCTAAACAGACTTTCAAAATAGGCCTAAAAATGTCACATGCAGTTCATTATTGACAATGCAACGTTGTAAGCCTAGAAAAAGAAAACAAGAGGCTCCAGATATTTTTTTTTTTTTAAATATATACAAGAGTTGTTACATTCTTGTACAGCCACTAGTACGCGTAGCGTTTCGGGCAGGACCCTGGAATACGATCCCCGCCGCGAAGAATCGTTTTTTCATCCAAGTACACATTTTACTGTTGCGTTAAACAGAGGCTACAGTTAAGGAATTGCGCCCAGTAAATCCTCCCCGGCCAGGATACGAACCCATGACAGCGCTCGCGGAACGCCAGGCGAGTGTCTTACCACTACACCACGGAGACTGCTAAATATCAGCTAAATAACATCAAAATTTATTAAATGTAAAACTCTATTTAACAAATTACAAGACGTGTTACCTTAGAACACGACTGTGAAGAATTGCCCTGTGTCTTTATAATGTATCCTGGAGGACATGTCGGCGGTGACTGGCAGTGAGACGGGATGCACCAGTAGTCACAGTCGACGCGTGAGTCGATGTGGTGCTCATCGTCAGGGTAACTCTCCTCTTCGAGTTCCCATTCAGGGGGACATGCCTTTTCTGGACATGGAACCACAGTGCACTCGTATATTGGGCACCTTGTCTGTTGAACAACATCTATATCAATGTTTTATGATCATATAATAATTTATGTTATAGATTCATTACTTATATATATCTTTCAAAGGAGGAAGGATGGCTTAACAAACCTTATTTGAACTCTGAAGAATTTGCCCTGGTGGACAGACTGGGGGAGGAGTGCAGTTCTCTGGGGGCTGGCAAAATGTACACTCTCCTACATCAGAGGGTTCCTTCTCGGTCCAGCCGTCAGGACAAGTTAGTGTTGGGCAAGGTTCTTGAGGGATGATATAAGATTAAGAGTTCAAAAGTTTGGGATAAAAAGTAACTGAGAAATTAACTATAAAGCATTCAGAGCATAATTCAATATTTGAGCTGAACACAACTTTTCTGTACAAAAAGTGTTAACTTTTCATCAGAATGATATAACACATTAACAGATACAAAATTTATAAGCAAAATATTAATTCTGGATTAAACTGTTAATGTAATTTAACAAAAAATATCTCCCTTCCCCCTTAAGGTTCTACTGCCACTGTGCAACATAGCTTACAAACTGCCCGATCTTGCTGCCAACCATGTCCCTCCCAACCATGTCCCTCCCAACCATACAAGCCACTACAACACTACAACCATAACACCTCTCCAACTCTACTCACAACACCTTCTTAAAGCTGATGAAGGAACCAAAGAGCATACCTTGGGTAGTGGTGGTGGTGGTGGTGGTGGTGGTGGTGGGGATGGTGGTGGTTGTGGGGGAACCAAAGAGCATGTGGTGAGGGTGGTGGTGGTTGTGGGGGTTGTGGTGAGGGTGGTGGTGGTGCGGGTGGTGGTGGTGCGGATGGTGGTGGTGGTGGTGGGGGTGGTGGGTGGTGGGGGTGGTGGTGGTGCGGGTGGTGGTGGTGCGGATGGTGGTGGTGGGGGTGGGGGGTGGTGGGGGTGGTGGTGGTGGTGGTGCGGGTGGTGGTGGTGCGGATGGTGGGGGTGGTGGTGGTGCGGATGGTGGGGGTGGTGGTGGTGGGGGTGCTGGTGGTGGGGGTGAGGAAGGTGGAGGGGATGGTGGGGGTGCTGGTGGTGGGGGTGAGGAAGGTGGAGGGGATGGTGGGGGTGCTGGTGGTGGGGGTGAGGAAGGTGGTGAGGAAGGTGGTGGGGGTGGTGGTGGTGGGGGTGGTGGTGGTGGGACAGTCGACCTCATCATCGAGGCAGTCATCATCTTCGACACCGTCGCACCACAACGTATCATTCAAGCAGTAGTTGCTGGAGGGGCAGTGTGTGCTTCCCGGAGGACACGGCTCACAGTAACATTCACACTCGGACGTTAATATACTTTGTTCACCCTGAAATATTTTGCGACGGTTATACATTATACACAAAACGTAAGCATAGTAAATGTATATATCTCTGAGTGAAGAGAAGCAATTATAACAACATGTGATATTTAAAACGACTACACGATTTTAATCAATAATAATTTCCAAGCTTGGGTTAGGTTAAAGACCATGTATCCTGTCCCAAAGTTAGATTACATGACCATGTATCCTGTCCCAAGGTTAAGTTACATGACCATGTATCCTGTCCCAACGTTAGATTACATGACCATGTATCCTGTCCCAAAGTTAGATTACATGACCATGTATCCTGTCCCAAAGTTAGATTACATGACCATGTATCCTGTCCCAAAGTTAGATTACATGACCATGTATCCTGTCCCAAGGTTAAGTTACATGACCTAACCTGACATGGATACACGGAATCAGGGGAGAAAATACCAGCATAAATAGAAAAACAAACCTACTCTGACTAAAAAAATCAGGAGAGAACCTAAAATACTAGGAAGATCTATTAGCCTCCACTAGCAAAATCTGGATACAGCACAAGAATATCTTCCAAGATTCCTGAGTGTATGAAGTTATTACAGAGCTCAAAGTACCTCATACCATTAGATCTGAAGTCACTAATAACAGGGCAATCACAGATAGTGTTGGAGAGTATGTCCCAGCTCTTTTTCATTACAGCGGACACTGATAACCTATCCTGACTGGGTCATGGCAGAAGATAAAGGTTTCCGAGTTGTACATGTTGGTAGATCACCCCGAATTGCCTCTAACTTTGTTAGTGATACTAAGAGTAGGATATTATTGACTTTATTAATACATTTGGCATTAAAAGTTTTATTTGGCATTTTAGTTCAATTTTCCTGTAATTAATTCTGAGCATATCATCTGCAGCTCCATTGATTCTTTTTGATCATATTCAGTGATTTTTTTCAAGTACAATAATAAAGATCAGTAAATTAATCACCAGCCAGTTGAAGAAATTAATAATTATTAAGTGGTCTCAGTAATTATCAAGAGTAAGACGCATGTATATTATATTATATTATGTTATATTATATATATATATATATATATATATATATATATATATATATATATATATATATATATATATATATATATAATATATATATATATTTTAATAAAGTAAATATATATGTGTACATACAAAAAAATGGGGGTGGTAGGAGAAGATAATATTAGTGTTCAGTGAGAGACCACAAGGTCTCCTCTGAATACTTTTTATTTTCTTCTCCGAGGCTATGGGTCCCCACATTGGCACCAGAGGTGGTACCCTCACAATTTTTTATTATATATATATATATATATATATATATATATATATATATATATATATATATATATATATATATATATATATATATATATATATATATATATATATATATATATATATATATATATATATATATATATATATATATATAATATATATATATATATATAATAATATATATATATGTCGTACCTAGTAGCCAGAACGCACTTCTCGGCCTACTATGCAAGGCCCGATTTGCCTAATAAGCCAAGTTTTCATGAATTATTGGTTTTTCGACTACCTAACCTAACCTAACTTTTTCGGCTACCTAACCTAACCTATAAAGATAGGTTAGGTAGGGTTGGTTAGGTTCGGTCATATATCTACGTTAATTTTAACTCCAATAAAAAAAAATTGACCTCATACATAATGAAATGGGTAGCTTTATCATTTCATAAGAAAAAAATTGGAGAAAATATATTAATTCAGGAAAACTTGGCTTATTAGGCAAATCGGGCCTTGCATAGTAGGCCGAGAAGTGCGTTCTGGCTACTAGGTACGACATATATATATATATATATATATATATATATATATATATATATATATATATATATATATATATATATATATATATATATATATATATATATATATAATATTGGGGATACTGGAAGATAATCTGCTACTACCCTAAGGTTGCTGGTGTAGGCCAGTAGACCCCGACTCTCATATCCTGCCTTACCCTCATTCCATGTATGACTATCATTTTGTGAGATGGGAATAATAGATGAGTTTGTAGGCAGCTTTTGATATATATATACTCTGTAATGCCTCTTATAGAATAGAGTTGCAGTACTTACACTGTTGTGCACCTGAGTGTGTTAACAATATTAAGTGTTAGACAAGAGAAAAGGACAAGCTTGGAGACTTACCCCTTCACACGCCTGACACTGTTTCTTGATGCACACAGTTCCCGTGTGATTGCACTCGCACTCTTCACACTCATCCGTAATAAACACTGACGAAGGGTATCTAAAAAAAATTACACTACATCAGCCAATTTGCAATAAATATGATCAACTAAATACTCATTATATATGACACGGTTTAAACATTCTACATAAGAGGAAAAACAGGGATGCTTTCGACTCACCTTGTGCAATTCACGTAACATGAACATAAGTAATCAGGGACACAGGTCTGACCATCAAATCTCTCTCCGGGCAGACACTCAAGACAGGTGTCGTAGCACTCCGGCAGGAGGCCCGGGCAGGGAGAGCATGTGGAGGGTGGTGGGGTCGTCGTGAATGGTGGTGGGGTCGTCGTGAATGGTGGTGGGGTCGTCGTGAATGGTGGTGGGGTCGTCGTGAATGGTGGTGGTGTCGTCGTGAATGGTGGTGTGACCTCACCTGCACAACACCGCTAATTATTAACCAACACTTCCAAACTCTCATTATACACCGTACAGAATACAGTACATGGATACAGATACATTCACAAGCATATACAGCGTTTCTACAAGAAACCTTTAAGCACATGCAGCCCGAGTACCTTTGAATATTACTTCCAGCACACACGCCACCCTGAGAACAGTACTGAACCAGAGGAAAGCACAAGACAAGAGTCTGGAGCTGGAGCCACATGCCGTATCCCATCAGGTGAAGAACTGGAGTGTGGATCGCCAGCGTGGGGGGTCTGGGGATCCCCCTTCTCCCTCCTGAGGAGGGGGGAGCTGCACAGACATGCGGCACGGCTCATGTGACGTCATCTTCTTGAGGTTATCTTGAGATGATTTCGGGGCTTTAGTATCCCCGCGGCCCGGTCCTCGACCAGGCCTCCACCCCCAGGAAGCAGCCCGTGACAGCTGACTAACTCCCAGGTACCTATTTACTGCTAGGTAACAGGGGCATTCAGAGTGAAAGAAACTTTGCCCATTTGTTTCTGCCTCGTGCGGGAATCGAACCCGCGCCACAGAATTACGAGTCCTGCGCGCTATCCACCAGGCTACGAGGCCTCATGCTTCTTTGTTCGTTTTCATTTGGGGAGTTCTGCCCAATCGTTTTGACCTAGTTGTTTTCACTAGAATAGGGTTTGTTTTGGGTCGCTTACCTTTCTGGGTGCCTGTCCCAGTCGATGGCAAATATAGAATCCTCCACAGTCACATGTGCATTTCTATAGGCCATTGCTCCTCGTGCCTCTCTGAGGGGGCCAGGTTCTGTCTCATGGTTCCCGGTAGGCCTAGAACTCCACCCACATCGACTGATGCCAAAGTTAGGGATATCCTAAGGGAGCTGGTCGGCCGAGCGGACAGCACGCTGGACTTGTGATCCTGTGGTCCTGGGTTCGATCCCAGGCGCCGGCGAGAAACAATGGGCAGAGTTCCTTTCACCCTATGCCCCTGTTACCTAGCAGTAAAATAGGTACCTGGGAGTTAGTCAGCTGTCACGGGCTGCTTCCTGGGGGTGGAGGCCTGGTCGAGGACCGGGGACACTAAAAAGCCCCGAAATCATCTCAAGATAACCTCAAGATCCTTATCAGCCCGGATAACTCCGGGAGCCGTAGGGGGCTTCCACCAGAAAAGCCTTTAAATCCTGGACAAAAAGCGACCGAGAAGGTGAGGTTGTAGCCACACTTCATCTAATAGATCACCAGAGGTGGAGTTGGCAGGCTTGTACCTGACTTCACCAAACACAGTAACACCTATGAATACATTACCACCTTAAGAATGTACTCTTTGGAAAAGTGGAATTCGTTTACTATTATCATTAAAGCGATTAAGTCTGATTATTATTGACCACAAAATGCACGTTGTGAGAGTGTATACAAACTAATTTAGATTGAAATTATAGCTTTTTTTTTAATTGAAGGAATGCCAGACAATTATTGAAAGAATACTCACACCCATTCGGGCATGTGCACAGGCACTCCCACACGCTCTCCCGCACTCACTCACTCACTCACTCATTCACCAATGTACGTTACTCATGACTATTACCTGGGACTCGTGTTGTTGTTACTGACAGAGAAAAATACATGAGCTATAGTAAAAACATCAGTACCTCTGAGCGTGATTACTGCATTAAATATAGATACATTAAATATACATACATTAAATATAAGTTCCACGTTAACTT